GGTATCCTCGGTTAGGGTCCAGGGCAGCGGGGGCCTGATTCTTTCGTCTAGTGGATGGAAGATCGGGGTATCCTCGGTCAGGGTCCAGGGCAGCTGTGGCCTTCCTTTGTTTGTTGGATGGAAGATCGGGGTACCCTCGGTCAGGGCCCAGGGCAGCGGGGTCCTGATTCTCTCGTCTGGTGGATGGAAGATCGGGGTACCCTCGGTCAGGGTCCAGGGCAGCGGGGGCCTCATTCTCTCGTCTGGTGGATGGAAGATCGGGGTATCCTCGGTCAGGGTCCAGGGCAGCGGGGGCCTGATTCTCTCGTCTAGTGGATGGAAGATCGGGGTACACTCGGTCAGGGCCCAGAGCAGCGGGGGCCTCATTCTCTCGTCTAGTGGATGGAAGATCGGGGTATCCTTGGTCAGGGCCCAGGGCAGCGGGGTCCTGATTCTCTCGTCTGGTGGATGGAAGATCGGGGTATCCTCGGTCAGGGACCAGGGCAGCGGGGGCCTTCCTTTGTTTGTTGGATGGAAGATCGGGGTATCCTCGGTCAGGGCCCAGGGCAGCGGGGGCCTCATTCTCTCGTCTGGTGGATGGAAGATCGGGGTACCCTCGGTTAGGGTCCAGGGCAGCGGGGGCCTGATTCTCTTGTCTGGTGGATGGAAGATCGGGGTACCCTCGGTTAGGGTCCAGGGCAGCGGGGGCCTCATTCTCTCGTCTGGTGGATGGAAGATCGGGGTACCCTCGGTCAGGGACCAGGGCAGCGGGGGCCTCATTCTCTCGTCTGGTGGATGGAAGATCGGGGTACCCTCGGTCAGGGACCAGGGCAGCGGGGGCCTTCCTTTGTTTGTTGGATGGAAGATCGGGGTACCCTCGGTCAGGGTCCAGGGCAGCAGGGGCCTTATTCTCTCGTCTGGTGGATGGAAGATCGGAGTATCCTCGGTCAGGGCCCAGGGCAGCGGGGGCCTTATTCTCTCGTCTGGTGGATGGAAGATCGGGGTACCCTCGGTCAGGGTCCAGGGCAGCGGGGGCCTTATTCTCTCGTCTGGTGGATGGAAGATCGGGGTACCCTCGGTCAGGGTCCAGGGCAGCGGGGGCCTTATTCTCTCGTCTGGTGGATGGAAGATCGGGGTACCCTCGGTTAGGGTCCAGGGCAGTGGGGGCCCGATTCTCTCGTCTGGTGGATGGAAGATCGGGGTATCCTCGGTCAGGGCCCAGGGCAGCGGGGGCCCGATTCTCTGGTCTGGTGGATGGAAGATCGGAGTATCCTCGGTCAGGGCCCAGGGCAGCGGGGGCACGATTCTCTCGTCTGGTGGATGGAAGATCGGGGTACCCTCGGTCAGGGCCCAGGGCAGCAGGGGCCTTATTCTCTCGTCTGGTGGATGGAAGATCGGGGTACCCTCGGTCAGGGTCCAGGGCAGCGGGGGCCTCATTCTCTCGTCTGGTGGATGGAAGATAAGAGTATCCTCGGTCAGGGCCCAGGGCAGCGGGGGCCCGATTCTCTCGTCTGGTGGATGGAAGATCGGGGTATCCTCGGTCAGGGCCCAGGGCAGCAGGGAGCTTATTCCTCCTTGAATTGTTGTGAAATACATCATCACCTGTTATATAGGAATAACAAGTCAAATTGTTTATTGGGAAGATTGTGGAATCTGCATATTCGTAACTGATGCTTCTTGAAATGGAATTACCTGTTGGACCCTGTTCACCAGTCACTGATTCAAGTTCAATAGGTGTGTTGGGACTGCAGTTAATCACATAATTTGACAGAGATTCACTGAAGTCTGAGCTGTTATCAACGGTCGTAACTTGTTGTGCAGGGCTACTGTCTATCACAGACAGGTCTTGGGTGTCCCCTTGCTGAGAACCATCAGCCATTATTCCCTGTGTCTGACTAGAGGTGGCACCAGATACTTACTGGCACAGATATCATATACACATTTGCTTGATTCGTCCATGAAGAAAAGTGATGCAGCTGCAACATTAACATGATGATCAATAAGACGTCTACCTTGTTTCCTAATCTCCTGGTTCTTCAATAAATCCTTTCCTCCAAAGCCAATGTGTGTATGTGTAACAGATATGGATAAAAGGTTGATAATTCATGTTCACTCTGGTATATGACTGGAATTAGAATAACTGTCCTATGTTTTCGGGCAGCTAACAACACTGTCTTGGCATGATGCTCTTCCGTCCCAGGCAGTTGGTCTGTAGGGGACCAGTCCTTGCAGCTACCTGCAAACAATAGTAATCAGAAGAGTTGAAAAGGAAAGAGACTTCTTGTTATTATCGAATAACCATTGTTTCAGATGCTTGAAAATTAAGAAATGTTAAAATATTATCAGAAATTATGTTCATCATAACCATCCATTTTGTTAAATTATAATTAGGGGTATGCATTGATAGCCCAGTCGTCTGACACGGCGCAATTGGCTGTGCAGAGTTGCGTCCCGTGGGCACGCCAGAAACCTATGATTGTCGTTTCAAATCCCAGTTCGCCCCAGTTATGTTTCTAGGTTTGTCAGCATCCTACCCCTGCGCATGGGTTTCACTGAAGTGGTTCACTTCAGGCTTTCCTCACACAGCATGCTGAAGTGGTGTGATATAACAGGAATACTCTTCAAAGAGGCATTAAATCCCAACTCACTCACTCACTCACTAAATTACAATTAAATTGAAATTAATTGTCACATTATTGTGGAATTGTCAACATAATCCCCAAACCCCTTTACTCAACTGATGTTCATCCAATAGTTGCCCAAACATGTTGGACTGCTTCCCTTCCCCGTCTAGTGGTGAGAGTGTCGGCCCTAGAGAGAGGAAGGTTAGTGGTTAGTACTTGTTGTTACCCTGCCTGGTGCTCAACATTAGGAGGACCAGACACGTCTCGGCTCAGCTCAGAATCAGTGTAATGGGTCTGAGTGGGGTATCGATGTTAAACTGCAGCACAGTATCTATAAAACCGGCATAAGTCTTGGCTATTATAAGCAGCCATGCACACAAGTAAGAGCAATAATTCTGAACCCCATTTCACATCTACTCTCAAATATCTTGCAAGGTCATGGATCGATATTAAGATGTATTCATTAATGCATATCTAGATTAATACATGCCTGACGCTCATCATTAAGGGGATAAAACAAGGACTGGTGACATAGCTCACAGTTAGTTTTCTATAAAGCCGGCAGTTGTCCGGACTAGTTCAGGCAGTCACCCAAACACTATAGTCTTGAATGTGACATTAAACCCACTTCAGTTTTCACCTCACCACCATGACACTTTGATTCAACAAGGAACCAGAAACTCTATCTGCCATAGAAACCATGTTTTCAGTCTTGTTCAGTGCATGAATTGAATTGCATTAACATGCCCTCATCCTCTGGGTCGCCGCATTGTCATATTGCTTAGTGTGGCGTTTAACGAACAAACCTACCTTCTCTGTTTATGATTTTATGCCCTGTCACAAATTCAGGACATTCACAACAGATAGTTCTGTGCCATTAGAAAATAATTCAGTTAAAAATTAGCTCATTTGGATTGCCAATATTTGCTTTAATCTGTTTTTGTAGAAGTATAGGACTGTCATACCTTGTAGGAAGTGTTGTTTGGGTGACATGTAGATTTAGTGCATGACACTTTACATCCATGACACTTATATTCCCAATGGTATTAGAGAGGTGTGCTGTGATTGGTAAAAGCAAGGTACGGTGATTTTGATTGGCTATCATGAAGGTGAAGATGATCAAAACAGGTGACATAGGCTCCAAACCAAACTGAAAATGCAACTAGCCCGTTGTCCCATTCCTCAGTCATTTGACTTGTGAAGATCTATTTTGATCGTGATTTGATTGTTGGGTTGGTTGGTTGGTCACTAGCTTTCATGTACACATGTAACAGACGGTGTTCGGTAGCACAGTGTTGTTCCTGACATATTTTTTAGACATTTCATGCTGGCATTGCACGGGATGTTTGGGTTGGGTTTCGGTACACAATTTCACTTTATCTTGTTTTGTTTTGAATGGTAAATACTTGGTTTTAATTCATGAGAAAACTTACCCTTAGTCAATGATTTACACACCTTCATCTATACCTGTCGGGTCAAGGTTATCCCAGAGGTCAAGGTCATTTACACATTGGAAGATTGGTTAACAGGCAGATTCCCTGTTTGTACAGTAATCTGAGAGACTTTACAGGTGTAACACCACCTCTGCCTGTGATTTCCAATCTTCTGGCAACACAAGGCTATCAGATCAGTATTGCAAGTACTGTAAATCTTCAAATTTAATGCGTCTCTAAATTAAAGCGTCTGCTGACCCCAAGCCAAAAATGTGACTCAATATTCTGTAATTGTTATCTCACAATCTCTCCAATGTGGAAGCCTCAGTGTCTGAGTGGGTTAGATCGCTGACTTTGTGTGCTGGCAATTAGGTTCCTCATTCTGGCAGAGTGGGGTGGGACTAAAAAAAGTATGAGAATCTATTCTTTACAAAGAAAGTATTATCCCAAACCATAACATTTGTCCCTTTTGACCACTTTCTAAAATGATATTGTGTGTTCACCGTAATAACTGTTGTCTTAACTGTATGGTGGACAAACAAAATGAAAATTGAATTCTGTTTGTGTTACAAAGTTTACATTCCAGGTATTTTGAAATGACGCCCACTCTTAATATCCAGATCATGACAGCTTTGACAAAAACAAGAAAGAGCAGTTTTGAACTTGCCTTGTGTTACAAAGTTCAAATATTTTTCACAATTTATAGAAACTTTAATTTTGGCTTCAGTCAGTTGGCTGATTGTGTGCCAACATGCATCGATGGTGTGCTTATTTGCTCATGCTTTTACCTGTAGTCACAGGATCGTCTGGTGCAGACCAGATTACAGGCCACTGTCCTACACATGGAACATTGCCGACAAGGAATCAGACAACAAAGATACAAATCCATGCATTTTTTAATCAGTTCAACAAAACCAGAACCCGTATTTATGATGACAAGTAACAGGGACATTGTGTCTTTCAGACTGAAGCAGTTCTACGCAGATGGCGTCAAGCCACTCATGGACTTCTTCGACGCGGCCAATGGCCTGGTTTGCCCGGAGAATCCCGGCGAGGCCAGGATCAGCAAGAGCAGTGTCATGGGTATGTGCGGGATTATTGTACCCTGTGACCCCACCCTCCTGTTTCCACCCATACCCCATCCTCCCTTGTAAGACCCCACCCTCCTGTTTCCACCCATACCCTATCCTCCCTGTAAGACCCCACCCTCCTGTTTCCACCCATACCCCATCCTTCCCTGTAAGACAATTCGGGGCGGTCGGGTAGCCTAGTGGTTAAAGCGTTCGCTCGTCACGCCGAAGACCCGGGTTCGATTCCCGACATGGGTACAATGTGTGAAGCCCATTTCTGGTGTCCCCCTGCCGTGATATTGCTGGAATATTGCTAAAAGCGGCGTAAAACCATACTCACTCACTCACTGTAAGACAATTCCCATAAAACAATTCCATGTACCGTATTCGACGTAATAAGCGCCCAGGACGCTCTCAAAATTAGAAATAGGGGGCTCTTATTAGAATATTATTTTTGTGAAAGAAAAACATAGTTGAATGATAAATTTCGTGGTTTATGCTGACAGCCTGAAATGTTTATGTACGACAGATATATTTTACGAGGATTTAATTGCCCATAATTAAGGGTGCATTTAACACACGAGTGCATATCATACTCGAATAAATAAGTCTTGTGTACATTGATCAATCGGAAGGGATGCTAATTGGACTTGTTCACTAGCCAATATATTAGCAAATATCGCTGTGGGCACTTATTAGAGGGAGGCGCTTATTACGTCGAATACGGTAAGTAAGTAAATGATTCACATTGATATTTATTTTATTTTTATTTTGACTGACCTTGTGTGGAAAATCTAGAATAAATCCATGAAACAGAAAATTAAAAAAGTGTGGCCTAACATTGAAAATCTCCTTTTGTTCTTGACTTGAACTTGAATTTTTAGGTTCTGAAAGGCCACAATAAACATTTGCGATTTTCATCCAAATTTTTACAAAAATGTGAGGCTATCTCTTTTTAGTATTTTTTTATAAACTTTCTTCATTATTAAAGCACGGGTAAATTTTTAAAGTTAGTGTACTTCATCATCACCATGTACATGATGTTGATGTCTCATATATGAAATACTCGTGTTATTGTACCTGTTATGCGCCCCTCATGGTTTATTCTTCCTGCAGTGTTTTATTGTAAGGTAAACAACTTGTTTATTTCTTAAATAAAACTTGTCATTGCCTTCGACAGTAGGACAGTCCAACACACCGAATTCTGGTTATAGTCAAGATTCCCGCCAGGACTGAAAACTAAATCTTTTCAGAAAGCATTTTCCCCCCAGGAACCCGTTCCACAAAGCGATCTTAGTGCTAAGTTGGTCGTAACTCCCATACTTCATCATAGGCTTACGATCAACGTTGCACTAAGATCGCTTTGTGGAACGGGGCCCAGGGACCTGTTCCACAAAGCGACCTTAGCGCTACGACTGTCGTAAGATAGTGTTAAAGAATGGGAGTTACGACCGAGTTAGCGCTAAGATCCCTTTGTGGAACGGGGCCAAGGGACCTGTTCAACAAAGCGATCTTAGCACTACGACTGTCGTAAGATAGTGTTAAAGAATGGGAGTTACGACCGAGTTAGCGCTAAGATCGCTTTGTGGAACGGGGCCCAGGACTTGAACCTTTGCATTGTTTCTGTTGTTTGAACACAGGCCTCTTCATCAGGAGGATGGTTCTGGCCTTCAACAAGCTGTCCTTCAGTCAGGTGACCTCATTCCACAGGAAGATCAAGGCTTACTACGACATCATGGCCGCCAGATACGGAGACGACCCTGACCTGGCCAAGTCCCTCACGGACTCGGTGATGAGTCTGTCCGGCGCTGGGCCTCCCCTCACCCGTAGTGGGCTGGCCAAGTCCTTCGAGGCCATGAACCTCAACGAGTAGGTCCACCACTATAGTTTACCTCTGTAACTATACACTAAGTGTGCCACCAGTAATTGTCAATGAGTAGGTCCACCACTATAGTTTACCTCTGTAACTATACACTAAGTGTGCCACCAGTAATTGTCAACGAGTAGGTCCACCACTATAGTTTACCTCTGTAACTATACACTAAGTGTGCCACCAGTTATTGTCAACGAGTAGGTCCACCACTATAGTTTACCTCTGTAACTATACACTAAGTGTGCCACCAGTAATTGTCAATGAGTAGGTCCACCACTATAGTTTACCTCTGTAACTATACACTAAGTGTGCCACCAGTAGTTGTCAACGAGTAGGTCCACCACTATAGTTTACCTCTGTAACTATACACTAAGTGTGCCACCAGTTATTGTCAACGAGTAGGTCCACCACTATAGTTTACCTCTGTAACTATACACTAAGTGTGCCACCAGTAATTGTCAATGAGTAGGTCCACCACTGTAGTTTAGTTCTGTAACTATACACTAAGTGTGCCACCAGTAATTGTCAATGAGTAGGTCCACCACTGTAGTTTAGTTCTGTAACTATACACTAAGTGTGCCACCAGTAATTGTCAACGAGTAGGTCCACCACTATAGTTTAGTTCTGTAACTATAAACTAAAGTCGCCACCAGTATTTGTCAACAAGTAGGTCCACCACTATAGTTTAGTTCTGTAACTATAAACTAAATTCGCCACCAGTAATTGTCAACAAGTAGGTCCACTATTATAGTTTAGTTCTGTAACTATAAACTAAAGTCGCCACCAGTATTTGTCAACAAGTAGGTCCACCACTATAGTTTAGTTCTGTAACTATAAACTAAAGTCGCCACCAGTATTTGTCAACAAGTAGGTCCACTATTATAGTTTAGTTCTGTAACTATAAACTAAAGTCGCCACCAGTAATTGTCAACAAGTAGGTCCACTATTATAGTTTAGTTCTGTAACTATAAACTAAAGTCGCCACCAGTATTTGTCAACAAGTAGGTCCACCACTATAGTTTAGTTCTGTAACTATAAACTAAAGTCGCCACCAGTATTTATCAACAAGTAGGTCCACCACTACAGTTTAGTTCTGTAACTTTAAACTAAAGTCGCCACCAGTATTTGTCAACAAGTAGGTCCACCACTATAGTTTAGTTCTGTAACTATAAACTAAAGTCGCCACCAGTATTTGTCAACAAGTAGGTCCACCACTATAGTTTAATTCTGTAACTATAAACTAAAGTCGCCACCAGTATTTGTCAACAAGTAGGTCCACCACTATAGTTTAGTTCACCACTATAGTTTAGTTCTGTAACTATAAACTAAAGTCGCCACCAGTAATTGTCAACAAGTAGGTCCACCACTATAGTTTAGTTCTGTAACTATAAACTAAAGTCGCCACCAGTATTTGTCAACAAGTAGGTCCACCACTATAGTTTAGTTCTGTAACTATAAACTAAAGTCGCCACCAGTATTTGTCAACAAGTAGGTCCACCACTTTAGTTTAGTTCTGTAACTATAAACTAAAGTCGCCACCAGTATTTGTCAACAAGTAGGTCCACTGCTATGTCACTATTTCAGACTGAAGTTCAGTAAACAGACCAGTATCCTCATGATGAATTAAAAGAGGGTGAATCCGTAAACTGCAAGATATAAAGATCTTGCCTTACTATTTATTTTAGAAATTCTGTGCTCTATTTTGTTCACTTTTCAAAACCGTATTATATATCATTATGGGAACAATATTGAAATGAATTGAAAAATATAAATCTATAATCTGAGTCTGCTTGCTTTTGACCATCTATCATGAAGCTCTGTGATAAGTATGCGTGAACGAAACTCAAGTGACATGAAATATTTCAAGACCTGTGTCTTATTTTCCTCCACAGTGGAGGAGGTTTGTCAGGGGGATTCTATTCCCAGAAACAAGCCGAGTATTTCATCGCTCAGCAGGTAGGTCGCTTAAAATATCTTAGCTTTGTTAACCCCTGAAGATCCGAGTTGGAATTGGTCTCTTAGCTTTGTTAACCCCTGAAGATCCGGGTTGGAGTTGGTCTCTTAGCTTTGTTAACCCCTGAAGATCCGGGTTGGAGTTGGTCTCTTAGCTTTGTTAACCCCTGAAGATCCGGGTTGGAATTGGTCTCTTAGCTTTGTTAACCCCTGAAGATCCGGGTTGGAGTTGGTCTCTTAGCTTTGTTAACCCCTGAAGATCCGGGTTGGAGTTGGTCTCTTAGCTTTGTTAACCCCTGAAGATCCGGGTTGGAGTTGGTCTCTTAGCTTTGTTAACCCCTGAAGATCCGGGTTGGAATTGGTCTCTTAGCTTTGTTAACCCCTGAAGATCCGGGTTGGAGTTGGTCTCTTAGCTTTGTTAACCCCTGAAGATCCGGGTTGGAGTTGGTCTCTTAGCTTTGTTAACCCCTGAAGATCCGGGTTGGAGTTGGTCTCTTAGCTTTGTTAACCCCTGAAGATCCGGGTTGGAATTGGTCTTTTAGCTTTGTTAACCCCTGAAGATCCGGGTTGGAATTGGTCTCTTAGCTTTGTTAACCCCTGAAGATTGTTAGGTCCAGACTTGTTTATTTACAGGCCGATGTCACATAGCTGGATTATTGCTGAGTGCGGCATTAAGCAACAAATAAACAAACAAGCTTAGCTTTGTTATTTGAAAATAGTATTTCACGGTTGTGTTTCATGCTATATGACATGTCCTCCTTGTACGTCCCTGTATGATAGTGTTGTGAGATATATGACCTCACGATGTTGTACTCGTGTCATGTACATCCCTGTATGATAGTGTTGTGAGATATATGACCTCACGATGTTGTACTCGTGTCATGGTACAGTGCTATATGACATGTCCTCCTTGTACGTCCCTGTATGATAGTGTTGTGAGATATATGACTTCACGATGTTGTACTCGTGTCATGGTACAGTGCTATATGACATGTCCTCCTTGTACGTCCCTGTATGATAGTGTTGTGAGATATATGACCTCACGATGTTGTACTCGTGTCATGGTACAGTGCTATGTGACATGTCCTCCTTGTACGTCCCTGTATGATAGTGTTGTGAGATATATGACTTCACGATGTTGTACTCGTGTCATGGTACAGTGCTATATGACATGTCCTCCTTGTACGTCCCTGTATGATAGTGTTGTTAGATATATGACCTCACGATGTCATACTCGTATCATGGTACAGTGGATGGCAGTGCACCAAAACATCAGTTGAAGTAATCAACCTTAGTGTGAAAATCACCTCAAAAGTTTTACATATCCAGTCAGATCAGGTCCCCAGTACATCATACATGTCATAACAGTCGACTCAGACGTGAATTAGCTGGTTAGTTTCGTGGGCTGTATACTCCCCAGTGAGCTGAGAATCATCAGGGTAGCCTTGTGGTTAAAGCGTTCACTTGTCACGCCGAAGACCCGGGTTCGATTCCCGACATGGGTACAATGTATGAAGCCCATTTCGCGGCATAAAAGCCGCGTAAAACCATGCTCACTCACTCACTCACTCACTCACCCACCCACCCACCCACTCACTCACTCACTCACTCACTCACTCACTCACTCACTCACTCACTCACTCACTCACTCACTCACTCACTCACTCACTCACTCACTCACTCACTCACTCACTATTATTGTCTGATTGTGTCATTGTGCCCAGTGGGGCTGATGCTCATGCTATAAACCACTGGGTTGTCTGGTCCAGACTTAAACATTTACAGGATGCTGTGGTATGTCTCAAATTAAAGTCCAGCAAGTCAACAATGAGTCTGTGTTCTGCCACAGGCGTTCCTGCTGCTGCACAACGAGGGGAAGGCCCTGCCCCCCACGCGCCTCCAGGAGAAGATCACCAGCATGCTGAAAGCAAAACCTGACCTGGCAGAAGCAGTAAGCTAGTTAACTACTTACCATAAACTATACATTGCTTCATGGAGAAATACATCAATAAAAAATATTGTTTGATTGTAATTTTTTTACATTTATTTAAAATGATTTTTCATGAGTGTTTTGTTAGGAAAGAAATATAAAAAATATGTCCTGTGTAGTCCTGAGACAATACACTAACTGTGTGATCCAATACGTATCACGATACCATGTTTACGATCTGGTACATATCATGATACAGTAAACTACGGTTATAACGAACACGCTTTTAACGAACTGACGGGTATAACAAACTTACTTTTTTGTCCCGACTATTTGCTGTAGTTATGCTGTATATATGCTTATAACGAACCACGGATATAACAAACTAAAATTAGTAGTCCCTTTGAGTTCGTTATAACCATAGTTTACTGTACTTGAATGTGCTCTTATCTGTGGTGCGTAAGCCATGTTTTTCATAGACAGAATGACCAAATACGTGGCACACTGACGTTTTACAGTTGGAAGTGTCAAGTATGGCGCAATGAATGAAATTTTTTTTTTCACTGTAATTTCCACTACTAATTAGTGTTCGATGTAGCAGTTATTAAAGCAAACATTTAAGGTGTATATCGTTATTTTTAACCTAATGTGTGACTTTGATTGATGATTGTATGGAGGAGTAAATATTTGCGATCCCCCGATGCACAGGTGTATTTCCTGCCACTAGTCCTGAGTGGACCCGTGAAGATCCGGGGTAGAATAGGTCTTCAGCAACCCATGCTTTCCGTTAAAGGCGACTATGCTTGTCGTAAGAGGCCACTACCAGAATCGGGTGGTCGGGCTCGCTGACTTGGTTGATACATGTCATTGATCCCAATTTCATGGATCGATGCTCATGATGGATTGTCTGGTCCAGACTTGATTATTTACTGACCGCCGTCATATAGCTGGAATATTGCTGAGAGCAATGTTAAACAACAAACAAACAAGAAAACTCGTCCTGGGTGAGGACGCGGATGATGTTGCTATTTGTTCTGACTGACGTATCTACCCACCAGCACTTCCTGAGTTACCTGAACAGCCTCCGAGTGAAGGAGTACTGTACCGCGGTACACAACCTGTACCACTACTTCGACCGCAACGCCAACCTGACAGGGGAGACAACTGGCCAGGCAAACAAGAACCGCGAGGAAGATGTGTGTCGCAGATATGCCGCCCTCAACTTGGCAGCCTTGCAGTACAGATTTGGCCACAAGTGAGTCATGGGGAGAGAGAGAATAGCATTCTTACCAGCAGGTATTTCAGGATAGTTTATTCCTTTTACAGCAACCCATACTTGCCATAAAAGGCAACTATGCTTGTCGTAAGAGGCGACTAACGGGATCGGGTGGTCGGGCTCGCTGACTTAGTTCATACATGTCATTGATCCCAATTCCGTGGATCGATGCTCATGATGTCAATCAATGGATTGTCTGGTCCAGACTTGATTATTTACTGACCGCCATCATATAGCTGGAATCTTGATAAAATACTATGTATCCTGCCTTGGAGGGAAATCAATTTCTCAGGGGAGAATATATCTCTTATACCCCGCCATGAGCAATACAGGCTGCATATAAATTTCTGTGAGGCAGAATAAATCCCTTATACTCCGCTTTGGATCAAAGAGTCACGTGACAGCACAAGTTAACGTCAGCTCAATCGAACAGCTGTTTTCTATCAAGTTTACATTTGTTTTAATTCCTTTACAATATCATATATTCTTTGTAGCAGGATCACAAAGGGTACATGGTCGGAAGTAAGGCTTCTTCATTATAGGATAAGGTCAAAGGTTAAGGTTGACCCGCCTACCAGTGAGGAGTTGCTTTGATGTTCTTATTTGGTTGTTACATTTCCTTTGCTCTTTTTGCGAACACCTGGTGTCATCACTAAATTTCAGTGGTCCATTCATATAATTTTCACAGATGTTTTGCCCATTATGCCAAGTGGAATCTGTTTGAGTAGAAAATCTGGTTATTCTCTTGAATTGACAATTTATATTTCATGAGGATATCTGGGTTTGATCACAATAATCAAACTGTTTTACACTCAAAATGTGTTATTACAGAACGTGGCAAGGATATTTCGTGATATCTCTGTTTTAGACATACTGCCTGCTTGTGTTTGGGTTTGATAAGTGTATGAGTGTTTAAGAAAAAATATTTAATGCAATATGCTTTCATTTTAATTTCCCCTGCCTGGCTATGCCCCTGCATAACTGAAAACCTTCTTTCATATTTTATGATGACAGTGTCTCAGTTGGCACGTGGTATGTGTGGGCGTTGGTTGAGTGGGCCCTGGTTCTAGGAACATTGTCCTGATAGGCTCTTGAAATGATTGATGATGTAGGGGAGATAACTCATACAAATCTGTTTCCAGAGACGAGTCGATGGCAGCACTGAATGAAGCGATTCGGATGGCCCAGGAGACCAACGATCACATCTGTTTACAACATGCCCTGGTCAGTGGCAGATTGTGTGGGGTGGCGTGGAGTGGCGTGGCGTGGCGTGGCGTGGCGTGGCGTCGGCTGGCTGGTGTGGTGTGTATGTGTGGCGGGGCGTGGGCTGGTGTGGTGTGTGGCGTGGTGTGGTGTGGCGTGGTGTGGTGTGGTGTGTATGTGTGGGCGTAACGTGGCGCGGTGTGGTATGTGTGGTGTGGCATGGCGTGGTGTGTGTGTATGTATGTGTGGTGTGGTGTGGTGTGGTGTGGCGTGGCGTGGAATTTGTCTTGAAAAGACCTTGAAAATAAACAACATGACAACATCTTAACTGCAAATCAATTTCTTTATTATTAATATACAAAATACAAATGTGTTTGTGAATGTCCTGGATGTATACAATAATGCTTCATCATAACGAATAATTGAAAACTTTGTGCCTGATTTTGCATACCTCATTTTTATGATAACAAGTGTTCTACCGAATGAATGCAATTTCAATCCGTGATGATATTTGCCTTGACTTGACTACAAGCGTCTTGAAAAGGACTTGAATTGGTTGAGGACAAGTTTGTGCAACCCTGTACCTTACTAATGCCCCGTTGTTGATCTGTGTCATCAGTCGTGGCTGCATCGTCTGGGGGAGAAGGGCGTGAGTCAAGCTGCCAACCTCATGGAGCGGTCCGTGTCCAAGAGTGGGGAACTCTCGCTGCCCGTGAGTCAAACTTTGAGTCTCCTTTGTTCCGGTGTCTCTCCATGGGCCACAGTTAGCCCTGGTCATCTACATCACTGTGCAGGTGTGCATCCCGTCAGCCTACCAGGCATTGGGATTCGAATCCTAGATGCAGCAGGATATGTATAGGTTTTTCATTACCACACTATTTGTCAACACATGCTGTGATAATATTAAGATACTGTTCAAAGTGAAATTCAACCAAACTCAATATTCTGTGATTTTGGCTGCCTGTTACTTAGATGCATGTCACAAATTGACTGTTCACACATTCACGCTGTGGGTGTTCTGGGTTAGACCAGATCCTCAGCAACCAACGCTGGTCGTAAGAGGCAACCGAATGGATGAGGTGGTCAGACGTGGTTCCATTGTGTGTCATCGTACCCTGATAGCATAGATCGTTGCTCACAATATTGATCACTGGATTGTCTGGTATCTGGTATTTTCAGGCTGCGATCATATACCTGGAATATTGCTGAGTGTTGTGTAAAACAACCAAGAAACAAACCAATCACTGATCCCACTCCGTCGAGGGGTACCCGGTGGGATGTGGATCAAGCTTTACAAGAACAAGCCATTTGTCATGGAGGGTTCTGTGCCTGTGTACACCTGCTACTGTGGACACACATTTATATATATATATATATTCCTTGTTATTTTCAGTACTTGATGTCTCTCGGAGTCCAAGCGCTGGCCAAACACAATGCATTCGCTAATGCAAAACCTGCGAGGTAAGACAATCCCACTCTATGCATGGGGCAGTGCAAAACCTGCAAGGTAAGACAATCTCACTCAATGCATGGGGCAGTGCAAAACCTGCGAGGTAAGCCAATCTCACTCAATGCATGGGGCAGTGCAAAACCTGCAAGGTAAGCCAATCTCACTCAATGCATGGGGCAGTGCAAAACCTGCGAGGTAAGACAATCTCACTGTATGCATTGGGCAGTGCAAAACCTGCGAGGTAAGACAATCTCACTCAATGCATGGGGCAGTGCAAAACCTGCGAGGTAAGACAATCTCACTCAATGCATGGGGCAGTGCAAAACCTGCGAGGTAAGACAATCTCACTCAATGCATGGGGCAGTGCAAAACCTGCGAGGTAAGACAATCTCACTCAATGCATGGGGCAGTGCAAAACCTGCGAGGTAAGACAATCTCACTCTATGCATTGGGCAGTGCAAAACCTGCGAGGTAAGACAATCTCACTCAATGCATGGGGCAGTGCAAAACCTGCGAGGTAAGCCAATCTCACTCAATGCATGGGGCAGTGCAAAACCTGCAAGGTAAGCCAATCTCACTCAATGCATGGGGCAGTGCAAAACCTGCAAGGTAAGACAATCTCACTCAATGCATGGGGCAGTGCAAAACCTGCAAGGTAAGACAATCTCACTCAATGCATGGGGCAGTGCAAAACCTGCAAGGTAAGACAATCTCACTCAATGCATGGGGCAGTGCAAAACCTGAGAGGTAAGACAATCTCACTCAATGCATGGGGCAGTGCAAAACCTGCAAGGTAAGACAATCTCACTCAATGCATGGGGCAGTGCAAAACCTGCAAGGTAAGCCAATCTCACTCAATGCATGGGGCAGTGCAAAACCTGCGAGGTAAGACAATCTCACTCAATGCATGGGGCAGTGCAAAACCTGCAAGGTAAGACAATCTCACTCAATGCATGGGGCAGTGCAAAACCTGCGAGGTAAGACAATCTCACTCTATGCATGGGGCAGTGCAAAACCTGCGAGGTAAGACAATCTCACTCTATGCATTGGGCAGTGCAAAACCTGCGAGGTAAGCCAATCTCACTCAATGCATGGGGCAGTGCAAAACCTGAGAGGTAAGACAATCTCACTCAATGCATGGGGCAGTGCAAAACCTGCAAGGTAAGCCAATCTCACTCAATGCATGGGGCAGTGCAAAACCTGCAAGGTAAGACAATCTCACTCAATGCATGGGGCAGTGCAAAACCTGCGAGGTAAGACAATCTCACTCAATGCATGGGGCAGTGCAAAACCTGCAAGGTAAGCCAATCTCACTCAATGCATGGGGCAGTGCAAAACCTGCGAGGTAAGACAATCTCACTCTATGCATTGGGCAGTGCACAATCTGTGAGGTAAGACAATCTCACTCAATGCATGGGGCAGTGCAAAACCTGCAAGGTAAGCCAATCTCACTCAATGCATGGGGCAGTGCAAAACCTGCGAGGTAAGCCAATCTCACTCAATGCATGGGGCAGTGCAAAACCTGCAAGGTAAGACAATCTCACTCTATGAGGGGCGGTCGGGTAGCCTAGTGGTTAAAGCGTTCGCTCGTCACGCCGAAGACCCGGGTTCGATTCCCGACATGGGTACAATGTGTGAAGCCCATTTCTGGTGTCCCCCGCCGTGATATTGCTGGAATATTGCTAAAAGCGGCGTAAAACTATACTCACTCACTCACTCACTCACTCTATGCATGGGGCAGTGCACAATCTGCGAGGTAAGCCAATCTCACTCTATGCATTTGGCAGTGCAAAACCTGCGAGGTAAGACAATCTCACACAATGCATTCGCCAATGCAAAACGTGCTAGGTAAGACAATCTCACTCTATGCATGTAGCAGTGCAAAACCTGCGAGGTAAGACAATCCCACTCTATGCATAGGGCAGTGCACAATCTGCTTGGTAATCAACCCAAGAAACTATTAGGCCGCTGTACAGCTTGTCATCAACACATAGTTTAGAGAGCACTCTTTGGACAAGTTGATGGTCAGACAACAAGACTATATCCTCAGACTAAATATATGTGTAACTTCTCTATGTGACTCTATCTTTGCCATAAGGATCCTCTTGTAGGGCTCGATTTATGGAACTTGATTTAACTAGCACCAGGTGTATGTTGACATGAAAACGTAGTTGCACCAGACAAAGACAGGTTGCACCCTTGTCCCATAAAATTATCAAAGTTGAAACATATGTCGACATGCTGCCTGTGTCACATTAGTTAATGATGTATTGCTGTAAAACGTAATTTCAACATGTGCACCTAATCTTGAAGTACCAGCAGTTTGAAGATGTCAAGCTCACAAAATCATGAGATTATACAGAGGTTACTGATGCATTGTGGGAAATAAACCTTCGAGGTATTGCGTTTGTTCAAAGATGTGTTGCATGGACAAGCAAGGGTCAGGAAACACAAATTTTGATAATTTGTTTTACCATGCGCTTGGTGCATGTTGACATTAATAATAGGTTGCATTTTTCAATAATAGCTAAATCAAGCCCTGTTGTTGTCCTTAGGAAAAGAATGGACAGACGAGAATGGAAACTGCCATGCATGACTTCATGATAAGTCAGTTTTAATCTGAATGTATCTGTGAGTTCATGTTTAGATTTTCAGCAACCTATGCTTGTCGTAAGAGGCGACTAACGGGATTGGGTGGTCAGGCTCACTGGCTTGGTTGATGCATGTCATCGTATCCCAATTGCATAGATCAATGCTCATGATATCAAACACTAGATTGGCTTATCCAGACTCAATTATTTACAGACCCCCATTATATAGCTGGAATATTGCTGAGTGTGGCGTTAAACAACAACAAACAAACAAACAAACAAACAAAAATGATGTTGTGTGTCTGTTTGCAGTATTTTTGAGTACCTGCTGAAGAGTGACATCTTGAACTGCCAGCACTCGGTGGCGGGACTCATGTGTGTCAGCTACGCCCAGAAGGCTGCTCTCTGGCACATGTACGGCAAGAGGTGAGACCCATCACTCATACCTACCTTTGTGTGATCACCAATCATTTACAAAACGTTGGCTCAAAGAGCAGAAGGCTGGTGATTCAATCCACGACCGCATCATACCAAAAGACAATGCTTTAACTAATCCTGTATTACTCCTAATGAATTTACTGCTGGTTTTGACAGAAAGATGAAGCTGTGTGAGGTCCAGCTGAAGGAGAAGTTGAATAAAAGCTGGATACTTGTCAGCCTGGTGAAGATATGGGACGTCATCACTTCCGTGATGTTGTGGGCACTTTGTAATGGGATTAGCCACACAACTAGTTGGAACAACTTCTTCAGCTGGACCTCAGACAGCTTTGTCTTTCTGTAAAAAAATCAGCAGTAAATGCATTAAGGAGTAATGCAGGATATGTATGCAAATGTAAAACGTATTTTGATTTTAGTAATTTTGTAGGATGTCCTTATTAATAGGTTATTTAGGATGACGTTTTTTCCTACTGCTGGCTTGTCTGGTGATGATGTAGGCGTGAAATTCACGTTGTGTTTCAGGGAGAGCTCATCAATGTGCAGCCAGCTGGTGTTGAACCTGGACACGTCTGAGAGCGGAGTGTTCCACAACGGAGAGTCCCTGTGTATAGCACTGTGTAACCTGGCTCAACAGCTGTCCGACAAGGTAGTAACGCCAGCTTGGCTTGATGGAACTGTATGACTTAGGATTCAAGACGCGAGAGAACTCTTTGTTATCAAACTTATTGATACACGTACAGAATGAGCGCAATCAGACAAACAGAGAGTTGAGAAAACGGGAGAGGGGTAAGGGAGATAACTGGGTCAGACAGATAACTAGCTATATAGCATCCCATGCTGGGATCGGACTCGATGGCCTGGTGGCTTGGTTAGGCTTAAAAATATAAAAGAATATTGGTTCTCAGGCAATGGTTTTTGAAAATATACTGTGGGCGGGCGGTGTCATTTTTTTTTTGATTGTTAAAACTAGTATGTCACCAAAAAACAGTTGTGAAATCAATAAGCAATTGTGTACAATCAACAATCAACCTCCCTACATAAATGTATTCCTTGATAAGTAAAATACTGGAATACAGTATTTGACTACCGTTGGACTTGGAATATTTAAGGATTTTTTGGTGTGTTTTTTTAAGAAATGGAAATAAAAACGAAACTTGCGGCGAACTTTATGATGTGGGCGGTGCCTGAGAACCAAGACTATTATTTTTTTAGCCTTAGGTTGATTGTGTGGAATTGTTACTTTGTTGTTTAATGCCGCACTCAGCAGTATTCCATCTATATGACCGGTCTGTAAATAATCAAGTTCAGACAATCCAGTGATTGACATGAGCATTAATTTACGGAACTGGTATACGATGACATGCATCAACCAAGTCAGCAAATCTGACCACCCGATCCCATTAGTCGCCTCTTACGACAAACATAGTCGCCTTTTTTGGCAAGCATGGGCTGCTGAAGACCTATTCTCTATCCAGATCTGTGTGTCAGTGTACCTCAATGGCTGTATTATTTATTGGGCACGATCATAGGTAAGACAACAACATGGCGTGTCAAGCATGAACCTGTTTCTCTGCCTCTTCAGCTTACACCTAATGTTGATTGGTTTCGATTTGATTTGGTTTTGATTTGAAGCAGCCACATGCAACACGCACACATGTGAATCTGTTCTAGGGCCTGTACACTGCTGCTCTAGACGTGGTGGGTAACGCCAAGCAGCGCTTCCCGAGCCACACACAGCACGCACACAACATGCACACATGTGAATCTGTTCTAGGGCCTGTACACTGCTGCTCTAGACGTGGTGGGTAACGCCAAGCAGCGCTTCCCGAGCCACACACAGCACGCACACATGTGTATCTGTTCTAGGGCCTGTACACTGCTGCTCTAGACGTGGTGGGTAACGCCAAGCAGCGCTTCCCGAGCCACACACAGCACGCACACATGTGTATCTGTTCTAGGGCCTGTACACTGCTGCTCTAGACATGGTGGGTAATGCCAAGCAGCGCTTCCCGAGCCACACACAACATGCACACATGTGAATCTGTTCTAGGGCCTGTACACTGCTGCTCTAGACGTGGTGGGTAACGCCAAGCAGCGCTTCCCGAGCCACACACAACACGCACACCTGTGGATGGCCTGTGAGCAGATGATACTGTTTGATCGAGCTGTCCTCAACCATCGCCACAAGGCGGCAGAACAAGCAGTGTTGAACTTACGAGCTGTCAACCAGAATGAAGCCAATCTTAGGTAGGTTGTGCAGCATGGTTGGTCCCAAGTGCTGCTTGCTGCAAGAGCCGTCTTCATTCCACGTCTAGAGATGCCAAACTTTACCACAATCAGGATATTTTTAATCAAATTCCACCAATAGGATTAAGTGAAATATATTAAGAATTTGGTGAAAACACCTATGCAAGGCGATTGCATAACCAAGGCACAGGCTTGAAAATGCCTTAAATTTGTTTGTCTGGTCTTGAAAGAGGCCTTAAATTTGAATCTGACTTTAAATTGGCCACCATTGTAAATTGGCTTGAAATAAATATATTACAGTTCTTTTCCTCTAATGATGTGGGATGATATCATGTACCAAATATGTGTTTTTCCCCAGGAACGCAATCTTGTTGAAAGAGCAAGGGGAGGTAACTGCAGCCTTCACTCAGCTCCACACACTGTTGGCGTCCAAGGCAGATCAGTGTGAGGAGCCTACACCTGACTTCCCTTGCAGGTCAGTGCAAAACAATGTTGTTAAATAAAGTATTCTGCAGCTATTTCTGAATGAATGATCAACATGGGCTGATTGTGATCAAGGCTCAAGGACATGTGCACAATGTATTTTTCTTAAGCTGCCTTGAACAATCTTTCAGAACTATCATGGCAGTTTTTTGTCATGAAAAAAGATTGAGAAAGTGTTTTCATGACAAATAATTATTTTACAAGTACACTTTTTTTAGGTTTTTCTTTGACGAAATAATTCAACGCTGACGAGGAGCCAATGCACAAACACAACCAACTACACCCGTTCTGAAATAATACAGGCAGTTGCATATGCAGTTTGAGATGTCGTTTGTGAAAACTTGTCGCACGTAGTGAATGAATCACAATGGAATTGGGGGCGGTCGGGTAGCCTAGTGGTTAAAGCCTTCGCTCATCACGCCGAAGACCCGGGATCGATTCCCGACATGGGTACAATGTGTGAAGCCGATTTCTGATGTCCCCTGCCGTAATATTGCTGGAATATTGCTAAAAAATGTCATCTAGCCCAACTGCGTGGATCGATGCTCATGATATCAATCACTGGATTGTATGGTCCAGACTCGATTATTTACAGACTGCTGTCATACAGCTGGAATATTGCTGAGTGCGGCATAAAACAACAAACAAAGAAAGCATGTTGTAGAGGGTTACCACTTTGGTGAAACCAACGTTGATGGATCTGGCTATATAGTCCTTGGTTCCGGAAGGAAAATTTGGCAAATTGGTAATACTTTGTGGGGCAAGGGGAGATATGCATCTTTTTCAGCCTGATAACCATTTGCCATGTCGTGATATAATAGCAAGGTTCTTGTGGCAGCTTAATCATAGAAATGACCTTTGACCTTCGAGTGTATCTAAAAGTAGTAACAAATATAAAACATTAGAAATGAAAGATTTTCAGGCCCTTTTGCCCATTCATAGCATAAATCTGTGTGTCATTTAGATAAATGAATGTTAAATAGGCATATAAGCTCATTTGGGTGGTCAAATATTAACAGATAATTATTTTAAACCTTTTACGTAAGTTGGACATGATCTTGTCCTCCACAAGTCATCAAAATCCCAATAGGTAAAAATTGAATTCTTTTGCAGTTGTGATTCTGATAAAGGTGTTTGTTGACTGATTCTCCATGAACAATTTGATTGAAGAGCACTATAGAATACTTTGGGAGTCTGAATCAGACTTTGTCCAGCTGGGTCACCTGATGTCAAATACTGTTTGTTTCAAGGTAATCAAACTGGATCCTTCTTGTGAGCGATATTGTGCAGAACCTTGTCAATAACACATCTTGAATTTGTCTTCACCAATTACTTTGCAACAGATTCCAATGCTGAAAAAAAGTTGTCCACTGGCAGGTGTGTTATTTGAAATAATCCTGACACGCACATGGAGAATACTGATGTATTGTTTCAGAGTTCTGTTGGCCCTCTCCGACCTGTACATCCAGACAGGAAACCACACCACGGCCTTGACTCATGTCACAGACTGCATCACTCGGGCCAAACAACATCATCTGCAGTACCTGGATGCTATAGCAACAGTACACCTGTCATTTATACAGGTAACAATGGCCATATCATTCTATGTTGGTATATTTTTTTAACATTTGAAAAGTCTACATCTTGTTGCAGCCAGTAATGTTTTAGTGAATGAAATATATATTTGGTGTTTGTCGAGTTATCTCAGTTCTCTTCCTGACCTTGACCTTGCAGTTCCACATGAAACTTCCGAAGCAGGCACTGAGCCTCCTGGAGGTCAACCTGCTGACCGTGCTGACCAATGGCAGCTGTCTGGACCAGGCCAAGACGCTGTATGTCTACGCCAAGTGCCGGGTTGCAGCTGCAGCAAAGGATGGGGAGGGGCCCCGGAAGGCAGGTGAGTCGCTGTGGTGACTCCTACTTACCTGTCAACACTCACGCATTTAAAGAGAGATACAGAACATTTTCATCCCAGATCACTCTCATCATTACAGGAAAGCAGAAAATTTTATGCATTTATTAAGATTTTTGTGTGTTTCATCCAGGTACATCACAACAAAATAGTATGGGAACCTATTTGTTAGTAAGACTAACAATGAAAAGGACCAGAATCTGAATTAATGTATGAAATATATAATTATTTTTAGCTGGGTAGCTTTCCTGCCTTCATTCCCCCAAGGTCCCAGCGAGGTAATACTGATTTGAACTATTGTTTAGATGGCTTAACATGGTAGGAGAGGACACATATATTTATGTGGGCATTTTGTCCTGGAATCAAATGGAATTCACCTGTGCCTGTGTTGCAGCGCTGCTGTCTGGCGTGGACCTGATGAACAAGGTGGTGGCCCTGTACCAGGGCATGGAGGCCCAGCACCGCGTGAAGGACGCCCTGTACTACCAGGCAAGGCTGTACAATGACCTGGGATACCACTCCGAGAGGAACAAGTGTGCTCATCGTTTCCGACAGCTGGACCAGCAATTCCCGACTCTGTCACAGATCACAGTGCTCGGGCTGGGATAGGCTGTCCCCGCATAGCATCTTGTTTCAGGCATATTTTCATGTATAGATATAGAGTCATGTGTGACATGAGGGAGGTGTACAGGAATCTGTGAGCTGAACACCACGAGACTAAAGCCAGATCAGATGGTAGATTCTTCACCATTATGATGAGGTCATGCTGTTGAAGTTGATTGAGTCAGGAATTCACTGACCTTTCTGAACAAGTTAAACTGACACAACTATTGGTCACTAAGAAAAAGAAGAAACAATTAAATGGTTTAAGTCTGAGAAATTACTCAAATCTGTTGATAATGGTGATAAACTGTTTGATTTCCGATATTTACAGTACAAGAAGTACAAGGCACTTTCATGTTAACTTTCCTGAATATCATTCAGTTGGGGTTCTCATCCCTTCAAACATGTCTCCCAGTAGGTTCAATGTTGTTATGACCGGTGGAGATCCAGGTAAGAATAGGTCTTCAGCAACCCATGCTTGCCGTAAAAGGCGACTATGCTTGTGGAAAGGGGCTACTGACGGGACCGGGCGGTCAGACTTGCTCACTTGGTTGATGCATCGGTGCTCATGATGTCAATCACTGGATGGTCTGGTCCGGACACGATTATTTACAGACTGCCATGTGGTTATGATGTGGTGACCAAGGAAGTAATCAACTGCTACACGGAGCCACTCACTGCTGTGAAGACATGACAACAAAGTATGAAGTAGAAGAGTCATTTGTTAGAGGTATACTTTTATTCCTCTCTCTCCTGTTTCACAATGACATATACAATGAGACAGCATGACTGAGATGTCCATCTCTACCAGATTAATGTGGCCATGCAGTGAGCTGATCTACAAGTAATAAAACAACAACTTGGCTTTGGAAATATTTCAACTGTCAGGGGACAGAAGATATGAAAATCAAAGAGCCTTCGAACTTTGTTTCATCCAAAATTCTCCATGTAGATAAGCTAGTTAAAAAATATTTATCCTCTGGTATCAACTGTTTTATTTTATATTTTATATTTGCTCTTTGCAACTTTATGTTTGGGGACACCAAGCCTGGATTTGGGCGCTGCAGGTCCACACAGGTGACGAAGATGGAAACATCCTGTCATGGCACTTGATTTACATGAAGATTTTTACAACAATGACAGACAGTATAATTTATGTACATAATAATTACAGCATTTACATGTCTGTGTACTTCTGTACAAAATGAATATCACAACACTCTCTGTGTAGATACATCTCGACATACAGCAAGACACGCATGGATCAACCATGATGGATTTCACCCTAACAATGATATCAACTTATGAAAGTAGTGTATGCCGATGGGTTATGAAAGAATACACATTTCAGACCAGTGACATAAAGGGAGATAACTCTAACTACTTATCTCCAGACAGTGTGAGTGCAATATCCTCTCCACACATCAGATATGAAACTTGTTATATTGTAGGGAGAAAAGGACTTCGAACACTCTCAGCATTTATCACATGTCACAGAAGAAAAGCTACTCAATTAAGAAAAAAGAATTATCCTTTTCCTCCAGAATGAAACATTAAACATTTGATTTTCAATGAAAGAACGTAGGCTAATAACTCAAACATTTAACAAAGTTTAGGAATTGTGGGATCTAAAATATATTGCACCGAAACTAACATGATCAATTTGGTCAAAGTTCACAGTTTTCTGAATTATACTCTGATTAGTAAAGGTCATTAATCAGTTGCTCAATAATGCCCACAATGTATTTTAACTCCTTGATACTGTTCCTAAAATGATTTAAAACATGATCACAAACAAAGTTAACATAATTTGAAAACAAAGACAGAAAACTCAACTATGAACACTTTTCCCAAAGAAGTCTCCTTCAGTTAAGGAGTAATTGTACATGTTACCAGGAATCTCAACACCATTCAGCCAAGGATTGCTTACTGGCCACGGCTGAAGCAGTGCTACAACCTCATTAAAATCAGATCTTCTACTGGGATCAGATTCCTCTTTCACAAACCCTCCACAGCAGATCTGATTTTAATGACATTGTGTTATGATAAAAATGACAACGAAGAACACAGAAAACAACAAGCTGCAGATCTCATTAAGAAAGCCTGATAGCCCTCTTTCCTTTCCGAAAATGTTGGATGTTCGATCCCCTGTGAAGTGAGAGTCACAACATATGCTAATCTGTGACTTTGCAAAAGATGCTTACAATTATAGTTTTTGAAATATAGGAATTCAAGTTACACAGACTATGGGGGGGAAAATGTAATAGATATTTTCTTATATTTTCCCAACAGGTGCTCAATTGTAATTTTTTTAACAAAATAACAATCTGTATTCTTTAGACACTTGATTGCATGAACAGGCAGATTTTCTTTTCTTTTTATAATGTGAGGCATATATAATGTTAGTTAATTTTTTTAAAGAAAACATTCCAGCCCCCTCCTGTAAATCAAATGGATGCTCCCTAAGATGGTCAGTTAAGTCCAAGATAAACATTGCCATCCATATCTACAATAGGTTTCTATGCAACGAGATGACATGATTTAATATGGAGATCAAGGAATCCTGCCACATGTATAGTGGCCAGACTGGAACCGCCTGTTATGTTCATGCTTTGGACCCTGGAAAGTGATGACTGAAAACACCCTAGATTTGAAAATGGACCCCGGTAAATCCCTGACACCTGGAACTGCCTTCAATTGGCATGCCAACTCCTGCTCCGACAGTTCCTTACAAAGCCATGCTAATGATAGTGTGAGTATTTCATCACTGCATCATCGTCTGTATACAGCCGGACGTTCAGGGGAGAACATAAGGAATAAGATTAAAAGAAAGAAAAGACAACAAAACACCACAAACCAACAAATGTAAACGATTCTAACAAAATATATCCCTGTATGCATACACGCCTGTGTGAAATTGTTACTAACATACTCTCCATTACAAATAAAGTTTTAAAATGATTCTCAAAGTTATAAGTTATACACCTGCATAACGAAATAAGGAAGCACTTGCTTTTCGACTGAATGCACAACTAAATATGTTGGCTAACCTAATGGGCCATGTCAAAAGTCAACTAGCACGGGGGATGATGCTTACAAAGAAATAGTGCCACTGACACTGTAGCTCACCTGGATATGTAGTCAACGGCTTAAAATGTCACTCATAAAAAGTGCAAAGGTCAAATTTTAAAATATTTTAAAATCGGAAGATTTATGTTAAGTCCCACAAACTACATTGGTACCAAACTTTATTCCATTTTAAAAAATAAATGGCCCAGTAATGGACAAATAGGTTTATAAATATGGCACACATTGAAAATAGACTTGAACCTCTTGAGCAAATAGGGTGTCATCATTGGTGGGAACATGCATGTGAAGTTTTTGCTTCATTGGTACAGTGATTTCTGAGAAGATATCTGCGCTGGACACCGAACAAACAGACCACGTCATAACCTCACTTGACTTCCAGTCAGGTGAGCTAAAACTCCAAATCTTTCTTCATTCATTTGGCCACAAGAATTCTGTTCCACAGAGTGATCTTGCACTACCACTACTGTAAGCCTGTGTATGGGAATTATGATCCCCTTAGAACTTTCTGAAACAGGCCCCAGAAAGAAAAACTTCTTGCTGTTTCTTAAACCGGAAATGGGCAAGGGTAACATAACACCAGTCAATATGTAGCGATGACATACTACATTTTTGGAAAATAGAAAATTCTTATTTTACTAAAATGAAATAAAACACTTTCTACTGAAACTACTTCCAGCCTGCTTCAATGAAAAGCTTGTTTTCAGATGAAGATCGAGATACCTAAAAAATCAATAGCATCTTTTGCCAAATAACATACCGTCTCACCACAAAATTGCTTCAAAATGGTTGATGGCATTAAGCAATAATAACTCACAAAGTTGACATTTTCACTTGTGGCTGCACCACTCATGAAAATGTCAGTTGTCAGATTGCTCAACAGGACAAATATGTTATTTAACAAGATTAGCTAAATGTGCTCTAAATTATTATTTAAAAAGATAGGAATAGAGATCAACCATTTCAATTAAGAAAAACCCTAAAATGAATTAGCTGTGGCCAATGCTATAATAATGTTCACTGAGCTGGAGGTGTGACATGTAGCAACCCATTTTACAGTCATCAACATAATTCTCTTGAAACTATGAAGTGGCTATTACAGCTGCCTGTTAACCTGATAGTAGAGAATCAATATATCTTATGCACTTGAGCCACAAGAGCAAAATCGAGGGCCCATAATGTGCACAACCCTTTTTTTACTTTTGTGAATAAATTATTTTTGACAAAATTAACACAATTAAGCTACATGATCTTTTGACAAGGCCCGTGGACACGGTTGGACTAGCACCGATCTCATTAAAATCAGATCTTAGTTCTCGGTACAGCTAAACAAAGATCTGAGGACATCCCATTACGGGTCACGTCGGACCGACCTTGCACAAACTTTGACCGACCAATGGAATGACCGACCAGAAGGCAGCTTTCTCATGGTTTACGGCACTAATTTCAAATTGGCGACTACGCTTCGAAACATATTTTGACAAATTCTCGATTACAAATTTGAAACCTGAACAAAAGAACATTCTGGAATGGCTAATAGATGGTCTAGATTGTATGGATTCAGTCGTTAAACCCGTAACTATCGTTTTCGAGGTTGCATGATTAGAAATCACATTCCGACTGTCACTTTCATAATCTGGTAAGCAATGCTCTGGTTGGTCGGATGAAAGGTCGTTCTGACGTGACCCCTAATGGGATGTCCTCAGATCTTTGATTAATGGTAGCGAGAACTGAGGTCTGATTTTAATGTGATTTGGACTAGCACCATGTTCAAAGTTCATCTTTGTGATCCATGGAAGCAGTTGGCGAATCATTGGCATCTTGTGTGGTGAAGGACTCCTGAGCGTCTGAAGGAATGTCGGCCACTGTTTCTGTAGTCCTTATTGCTTGTCCCTGGGAATTCCTCTCTATAACTTTCACTACACCATCCTTTGTTATAACCTCTAATGTGCTAGCCTCTTCCTCACCTATAGTCCCTTTCTCTTTCGAATGTTGTGAGTCATCCCTGATACCTGAATCCAATTTATGTGACTGTGCTAATCCCGCGGCATTTGCCTCCCCTTGTTCTATAGTAAACGTAAGTACACCTTGATCATCCACTTTGGCACCAAAGTGTTTAGAAGATTCTTCAGCAAATTTGGTCTGAATATATGGATTGTGTTTTGAGCTATCTTCTGTCCTTTTTCCTGAGTTGGTTTCATATAATTCTTCAACAGTTGCATAGTGAAGCTGTTTGGCAGTTTCAAAATCCATATGCTCGTTTTTCACACTTTGTGATTCTGCACTAGGTTTTGTGGACTTCTCAGTTAGAAACTTTAACTCAACTGCTAACTTTTCTATTAATTCTTGAGCTTTGTTATCTACCCGATCCATCCCAAAGTAGGCCGATTCTAAAAACCGGGCTATCGCTATAAGGTAATCCCCCTGATTGCTTAATTTTTCAAAATTAGTTTTTTCTTGTAAAGCTTGAACCAAGTTGACATAAATCTGATTCAACTCTGGCTGTGTATTATCCTCCTGCTGGTTCTTGTCGACCTTGAAGGACAACTGTTTCGAACCATCAGGTAAAGTGTCAAATTGTAACACATTTTCCTCTGCAGTAACAGATTCCGTGGTTTCTTTCTCTCCTTCCTCAACACTATGAAACACATCTGTATCCGCTTCTCCCGAAACCTTGATCTCCATGCGTACTTTCCTGGAGGAGGACTGGTAGGAGTAGACTTCGTCCAGACCCACCCTGGCTCCCTGTGGGGGCTCGTGGCGGAGGGTGGTGTGGGGTGGGGGAGTCTGATCAGGCACCTTCTCTGGGTGTACGTCTTGCTGACCCACCTGGGGTCCAGCAGGGGTCTTCTCGGGGGGTGGATTGAATGTGTCTGGAACAACAGCAGCAGCAGATTAGCATCATCAGTGAAAAGGTGTGTTTGAAATGTTTCTAGACGCTGCCGTCCAATTGTTCGACACAGTAGCATCTAAATACAAGTCTGTAACAGACACAACAGATCGCAACACCCATACTTTGACACAGATTCATGACATCTAAATACGAGTCTGTAACAGACACAACAGATCGCAACACCTATACTTTGACACAGATTTATGACATTCGTAGCACTAAGACGATTGCAACACCAATACTTTGACACAGATTTACAACATTCGTAGCACTACGACGATCGTAACTCCGATACTTTGACACAGATTTACAACATTCGTAGCACTACGACGATCGTAACTCCGATACTTTGACACACATTTACAACATTCGTAGCCTCTACGACGATCGTAACTCCCATACTTGGACACAGATTTACGACATTTGTTGCAGTAAGACAAGTGTAGTTCCCATACTTTCACACAGACATTCGTAGCACTACGATGATCGTAACTCCCATACTTGGACACAGATTTACGACATTTGTTGCAGTAAGACAATTGTAGTTCCCATACTTTCACACAGACATTCGTAGCACTGAGATCACTTGGTGGAATGGGACCCTGGACGTGACACAAAATTAGTCAAGTTGTTGTGATGACAGCCCGATACTCTTTAGTCAGTTCTCACGACAATGTTGAGATATTGACCCTTTTACTTTCTTTCACACACTTCTCTTGAACACAAGTTCAATGAAATCTTATTAGCTGATTAGTCCAGAACCAGTGATAATTTATTATTGAAATTTGATAATCCTCTGGACGATTCCTCTGGAAACATTACCATCCAGATTAATAAGGTTTCATAATGTAGCTGACCCATGAAGATTCGAGTTAGAATAGGTCTTCAGCAATCCATGCTTGTTATAAGCGGTGACTACCGGGATCGGGTGGTCGGGCTCGCCAACATGGTTGATGCATGTTATTGTATCCAAATTGTGTGGATTGATGCTCGTGATATCAATAACTGGATTATCGAGTCCAGACTCGATTGTTTACAGACTGCCATCATATAGCTGGAATAATGCTGAGTGTGGCGTACGATAAACAAACAACAAACAAGTCAGATTATAGCTAAAAGCCAGATCTTAGCCATGAAACTAATAAAATGCTAGTTCTCAATTATACGAACACCCCTGAAACATTGTCATTTCTTAAATTAGTCAGTAGTAGTCCTTAAGTGTCCTTATTCTACCTGAACCGACTTACCCCTCGACTTGGCTTCTTTTGTCAGCAGCACCTGCATGTCATTGTCCTGAGACAGCGCTGAGATGATTGCACTGCCTTCCTTCTTGAAGAGAAATACCATAGGGATCGTGATGTCCGTCTGTCCGTCCCCCGACATGGCAAACAGAGTCTGGCTCTCACTGGTACTGCCGTCATTCTGGTCTGAAAATACAGCAACAGACCTCTACAAGTTGCAAGGGACCGAATCATACTCAGAATCTCCTCCATGTGGGGCAGGTCAGTGAGGTAGCTAGTATCTACATGCCCAGGAAGTACTGCAGTGGGGTGGTACCGTTTCCAAGAACATCCACTACCATGTTTATATCTGCTGGTCAAGGAGCAAACCTGTTGTTTTCAGTCTCAGTCAGCTGTATGTAACAGCACCCTGGTCACGAGGACAAGTGGTTGACAGCATGAACAACAATCCTTGCTGGCAGGGCACAGGGACATAAATCAGCCTGATCACACAGTGTGTCTTCCCAATCGTGTGAGTGATGGCTGCAAAACATCTGGTACTTGATAAAAAATGGGGCAGCTAACTTTTGGCATTATATTCCTGCGCAATTCCTGAAGTTTCATTAGTGAGAGAGTGAGTTGGGTTTAATGCCGCTTTGTAACAGTATTCCAGTTATATCACGGCGTGTCGGCTTATTGGGGAGGAAAGCCCGAAGTGATGCAGGTCTCAGATGTTTACCACTTTGGCGAAACCCACGGGCACAGGTATGGTGCTGACAAACCTAGAAACATAATCGGGGAGAACCAGGATTCGAACCCACAATCAAAGGTTTCCGGTGTGCCCAAGGTACGCAACTCTGCACAGCGAATCACTTAGACGCCTTAGACGACTGGGCCACCCGTGCCACCTGTGCCCCCAATTAGTGAATGAAAATATGTCTTAAATTTTGATTATTCTTAGAATGAAAGTAAATAAATAGATTACTACCCTTGTGTGTTTCCATATTGTAAACATCATATATCAAGAATAAAATATGTATTATGCTTGCCAAAGGTGCGCACAATACAATTTTCTTTTCTAATTTACGATATTTATGCTATGATAATGCAATAATCAGAGACAAACAAGGAAAGGTTTCACACACAGTATGCTGTGGGGAAGTGAACTCAAGCATTTCATCACAATCACAGATGTTCACTGAAGACAAAATGACAACACGTCTCCAAAATCTTACCCAGAACAATTCCTCCGACAGCTCCAGCCTTTTGTAAATTTCTCGCCTGCAAAATGAAAAGAAACTTAAAAACAACTTGGACAATTTCTTTCCTTCAACAACAGTTAAGGAGTCACCCTATTATATTTTCCATCGCTCCCAGCAGGAATCGGTCCGAAGGCAATGCTTCCCAATACCGGTAATTGTTCTCCACACCAACAAGTGTATGCTGTTTGTCTTACATTAATAATTCCTATTCTTCAATGACTAAAATCTCACTACAGTGGGAGACAAAACATAATTTATCTGACTGCTTTCACATAAAGGAATCCCCTCTTAGCATGAGTACAGACTGCCACACTCCAAACTTCAGTTATAATACAGCTGCTTGTAAATGTTTGTTTGTTTGTTTGTTGTTTAACATCGCACTCAGCAATATTCCAGCTATATGATGAGGTCTGTAAATAATGAACTAGACAATCCAGTGATTGACATCATGAGCATCGATCCACGCAATTGGGATACGATGATATGCATCAACCAAGTCAGCAAGTCTGACCACCCAATCCGGTAGTCGCCTCTTACGACAAGCATAGTCGCCTGTTACGGCAAGCATGGGTTGCTGAAGACCTATTCTACCCCAGATCTTCATGGGTCCCGAGGAAATGAAGCATGTAAATTATTTAATCTGGTCCAGACCATCCAGTGATTAATATTATGAGCAGCGATCCTCGCAGTCGGGCTACAATGACATCCAATGGACAAAGACACTGACTACCTGATTCATTTAGTCGCCTCTAGTGACAAGCATAAGTTGCAAGGGACCGAATCATACTCAGAATCTCCTCCATGTGGGGCAGGTCAGTGAGGTACCTAGTATCTACATGCCCAGGAAGTACTGCAGTGGGGTGGTACCGTTTCCAAGAAAGTCATCCAGATTAACATATTCCATGGTTAATAAATCATACATATGGTCTTGCTGCTAAAATGTTTAGGAACCGTGTACCTTGTCCACAAACATACAGTCTCCCCTCTCCAGCAGGACAATCTTCCCCTGCACTGTGTGGGGGCTCGCCATGGGGCTGCAAGCCTTGAACGGGGATGCTATAGCTAGCTTGCCCTGAATCTGAAATGGTGGCAAGCATAATTATGATGACATTAAAAATATGTAATAGAACTATTAACTGGACAGTTGTATGACTACTTATGATCAGCGAGAATTGTAAATAAAACAGCACCCATGTGGGGATTGATATGTTGAAATAATGCCCGTCATTCACTCATCTCATATAATCCAGTATGTCAATTTCACAGATAAGCTGAAAAAAATTATTATATTTTCAGATGACCATACCTAAAATTAATAGTCAAAACTGATCCCATTCCAAAAAGACATCTTAAGACGATTTATGTCCCACACTTCATCATTGACTTATGACAGTCAGAACTGTACATTGGTCTGATGCTCTCGGTGGAATTGGGCCCTGATAAATCCATACCCTACTATACTAAAACTATGAGAAACAGAAACAGGAAAGCTATTCTAACAACTTACAGGTGGTGAGACTTTGAGATCGTATCCAAACTGTGCTGGCCCTGCTCTGTAGAACACAGATCCGTAGAATGGCGCCGACACGAGCTGCACGAACATTGGGTCATGCTGGGCTGTAACCATGGCAACCAGACATATACTTTTGCAACATGCACATGAAACAACTGTCAAAAGTTGAAAACTTATGTCTGCAAATTACTTATGCTTTCATAATGTGGACAGCGACATCATCTCCACTACTTAGTCACAGGTTGTCTCCTGTTTACAGTTAAGATAACTCACAAGCTCTGACAGATAATAACAGACAAAAGCCTTTATAACTGTGCTCCCCTGTGTGATCACACATTGATGTCTTCCTTTAGCAGAACAAGGGTGAGGAATAAGTCGCCTTGCGCATATCATGATTTGCCTGGTGAAAGTTGAGCCTGCTGTACCATGTACATGCCACTCCTGTACCATGAAAAACTGTTGTACCGTGGATATACCTGAAGATCCAGGGGGTAGGTCTTCAGCAACTCATGCATGCCGTCAAAGGTGACTATGCTTGTCGTAAGAGGCGACTAACGGGATCGGGTGGTCAGGCTCGCTGACTTGGTTGATACATGTCATCGATCCCAATAGCGTGGATCGATGCTTATTATGTCAATCACTGGATTGTCTGGTCCAGTCTCGATTATTTACAGACCACCGTCATATAGCTGGAATATTGCTGAGTGCGGCATTAAAGAACAAACAACCAAACAAACCATGGATATACCAGCAAATTAACCACTAAACTTCTACACAGCTTGTCTGGCTTACCCTCTGGTGACTGTGTCTTCGAGAGTTCAATCATCTCCTGCATAAACTTCATCCCATCTTCTGCATCATCAGGAGTGGCAGCCTGAAGCAATATAACATCCACATGGTCAATACAGAGGCTTGAAGCAATATAACACCCACATGGTCGATATAGAGGCCTGAAGCCATATAACATCCACATTGTCAATATAGAGGCCTGAAGCCATATCACACCACATGGTCAATAAAGAGGCTCGAAGCAATATAACACCTGTCTAATCCCCCACTGCTGTCCCCTGTCTAATCCCCCACTGCTGCCTCCTGTCTAATCCCCCACTGCTGCCTCCTGTCTAATCACCCACTGCTGCCTCCTGTCTAATCTCCCACTGCTGCCTCCTGTCTAATCCCCTACTGTCTAATCCCCAATACTGCCCCCTGTCTAATCCCCCACTGCTGCCTCTTGTCTAATCCCCCACTGCTGCCCCCTGTCTTTTCCCCGACTGCTGCATCCAGTCTAATCACCCACTGCTGCCTCCTACCTCGGATGCTGTGTGCAGCAGCTGTATGCGTCCATCAGACATGGTGGCAATGCGGATGCCCATCTGATGGAGCATGTCCAGGTGTGCCTTGTTCCCTGCGATGAACTCCGACGCCTGCAGCTTTGGCTGGTTCCTACTAACATACAAACAGTCACCACTATCATTCTGGCAATCAGTCAACCATTGAACACACAATGCCATTTAGAAAGTGGTCAAATGTAACAAATGCCATATTTGGGATAACACAGTCTTAGTAAAGTACAGATTCTAGTACTTTTTTGGACTGAGTCCGATCTGGGATTGGAATCCACACTCCCAGAGTGAAGCACCTATCAACAGCACACAAAGCCACCAAGGCTTTCACAAAAATGAAAGACTGACAACTGGTAGTCTAGATCACACACTTTGTGTACCCCTCGGACAAATGTAAAACTGGCACAACTCCCATGGCAGAAAGCTATGAATACACAATGCAACCTGGAAAGTGGTCAAATGTAAAAAATGTCATATTTGGGATAACACTTTCTTAGTAAAGTACAGATTCTATTACTTTTGGGGGTTGAGTCCCATCTGGGATAAGACTACAGGGCGTGGTGGGGGAGAAGTCCATCTGTCTGCTGACATACCTGCGAGGTCGGGGCCTGACATCTGGGGTAAGACTACAGGGCGTGGTGGGGGAGAAGTCCCTCTGTCTGCTGACATACCTGCGAGTTTGGGGGCTGACATCTGGGATAAGACTACAGGGCGTGGTGGGGGAGAAGTCCCTCTGTCTGCTGACATACCTGCGAGTTTGGGGGCTGACATCTGGGATAAGACTACAGGGCGTGGTGGGGGAGAAGTCCCTCTGTCTGCTGACATACCTGCGAGTTTGGGGGCTGACATCTGGGATAAGACTACAGGGCGTGGTGGGGGAGAAGTCCCTCTGTCTGCTGACATACCTGCAAGGTTGGGGGCTGACATCTGGGATAAGACTACAGGGCGTGGTGGGGGAGAAGAGTTTCTGTCTGCTGACATACCTGCGAGGTTGGAGGCTGACATCTGGGATAAGACTACAGGGCGTGGTGGGGGAGAAGTCCCTCTGTCTGCTGACATACCTGCGAGGTCGGGGGCTGACATCTGGGATAAGACTACAGGGCATGGTGGGGGAGAAGTCCCTCTGTCTGCTGACATACCTGCGAGGTCGGGGGCTGACATCTGGGATAAGACTACAGGGCGTGGTGGAGGAGAAGTCCCTCTGTCTGCTGACATACCTGCGAGGTCGGGGGCTGACATCTGGGATAAGACTACAGGGCGTGGTGGAGGAGAAGTCCCTCTGTCTGCTGACATACCTGCGAGGTCGGGGGCTGACATCTGGGATAAGACTTCAGGGCGAGGTGGGGGAGGTCTTTCTGTCTGCTGACATACCTGCGAGGTCGGGGGCTGACATCTGGGGTAAGTCTACAGGGCGTGGTGGGGGAGAAGTCCCTCTGTCTGCTGACATACCTGCGAGTTTGGGGGCTGACATCTGGGATAAGACTACAGGGCGTGGTGGGGGAGAAGTCCCTCTGTCTGCTGACATACCTGCGAGTTTGGGGGCTGACATCTGGGATAAGACTACAGGGCGTGGTGGGGGAGAAGTCCCTCTGTCTGCTGACATACCTGCGAGTTTGGGGGCTGACATCTGGGATAAGACTACAGGGCGTGGTGGGGGAGAAGTCCCTCTGTCTGCTGACATACCTGCAAGGTTGGGGGCTGACATCTGGGATAAGACTACAGGGCGTGGTGGGGGAGAAGAGTTTCTGTCTGCTGACATACCTGCGAGGTTGGAGGCTGACATCTGGGATAAGACTACAGGGCGTGGTGGGGGAGAAGTCCCTCTGTCTGCTGACATACCTGCGAGGTCGGGGGCTGACATCTGGGATAAGACTACAGGGCATGGTGGGGGAGAAGTCCCTCTGTCTGCTGACATACCTGCGAGGTCGGGGGCTGACATCTGGGATAAGACTACAGGGCGTGGTGGAGGAGAAGTCCCTCTGTCTGCTGACATACCTGCGAGGTCGGGGGCTGACATCTGGGATAAGACTACAGGGCGTGGTGGAGGAGAAGTCCCTCTGTCTGCTGACATACCTGCGAGGTCGGGGGCTGACATCTGGGATAAGACTTCAGGGCGAGGTGGGGGAGGTCTTTCTGTCTGCTGACATACCTGCGAGGTCGGGGGCTGACATCTGGGGTAAGACTACAGGGCGTGGTGGGGGAGAAGTCCCTCTGTCTGCTGACATACCTGCGAGGTCGGGGGCTGACATCTGGGATAAGACTACAGGGCGTGGTGGGGGAGAAGTCCCTCTGTCTGCTGACATACCTGCGAGGTCGGGGGCTGACTCTGTCCACAAGGTTCTTCATCTGATTCCGCAGAGAGTGGGCGTAGGTGATGCCCCCCGGGATCTGCACCTGGAAGTTGGGGCATGTGTTGTACTCGTCATCCTCGTCCTCCATCTCTCTCGCCACCTGGTTGGGGTTGAGGTCAGTTGTCTGCTCGGAGCGAAAAGTCTTCTCCAGATTGCGATAAGCCTCTGCATTAATCTGTCACATGGTAGAAGTTGAATTAATGGTCAAAGAGATTAGGAGTCTCAAGATTTACCTCTTTACATGAACGCCTATCACTCAGGAAGAGTTTAAGGGAAAATTAATTATTATGAAGTTATTTTTACTGAGATTCAAGATTGCCAGACGTCAAGATGCTGCTCTAGTGACTCACCTTAGGGATGCTGGACGTGTTCTGTACAGACAGCGTGAGGGGCAGGAGGTGGGCCTCGGTGGTGAAGATGTAGTCGTCGATGTCCAAAACCATCTCCTCCTTCTCAGCAAACAGCAGGTACAGATACTTGAACGTCTCCGCTAATACATAGGAGTCCATTCTATGACATACAAACACAGCTGTAACATGAGAACGAAAATACCATAATGATAATAGGTGATGAATACATGCACACAACACTAACATCTTCCACATGGAATATTTTGATGGCACATTGTGTTGTAATATTTGTTCACTTTATTACTCATAGGGTTACAAACACCAGAGTTCATAAAATGTGCACTAGTGCAAATATCACTTCACGCATACCAGTTTATTGTTTACATCACCCGGACAGCTTAGTTGACGTCATTTAAATATTATTGAGATGTAAGGTTGGAATGACATCACACTAGAAATGACACCATAGCTGAAGATTGTTGATGTCATGATCAGTGCATTTTGCAAAAGGAGAGCTCGAAAGGATTAAGAAATGATGGGTAAAAAGATTTTTTTACACTAGCATGTGTGTCATACTGATTTTACCAAACTTGTTTAAGAGTGGCTCTCACTCGGGAAATACAAGAAGTAGTAGTAGTAGTAGTAGTAGTAGTAGTAGAAGTAGTAGTAGTAGTAGTAGTAGTAGTAGTAGTAGCAGTAGCAGGATTAGTAGTAGTAGTAGTAGTAGTAGTAGTAGGAGTAGTCATAGTAGCAGCAGTAGTAGTAGTAGTAGTCATGGTAGTAGTTGTAGCAGTAGTAGTGGTAGTAATAGTTGTTGTAGTAGTAGTAGTAGCAGCAGTAGTGGTAGTAATAGTTGTAGTAATAGTCATGGTGGTAGTAGTAGTAGTAGTAGTAGTAGTAGTAGTAGCAGCAGTAGTAGTAGTCATGGTAGTAGTAGTAGGAGTCATGGTAGTAGTAGTCATGGTGGTAGTAGTAGTAGTAGCAGCAGTACTGGTAGTAATAGTTGTTGTAGTAGTAGTAGTAGTCATGGTAGTAGTTGTAGCAGTAGTAGTGGTAGTAATAGTTGTTGTAGTAGTAGTAGTCATGGTAGTAGTTGTAGCAGTAGTAGTGGTAGTAATAGTTGTTGTAGTAGTAGTAGTAGTAATAATGGTAGTAGTAGTAGTAGTAGTAGTAGTAGTAGTAGTAGTAGTAGTAGAAGCAGTAGTAGCAGTAGTAGTAGTAGTAGTAGTAGTAGTAGTAGTAGTAGTAGTAGTAGAAGCAGTAGTAGTAGTAGTAGTCATTGTAGTAGTAGTAGTAGTAGTAGTAGTAGCAGTAGTAGTAGAAGACTTACTGGTCCTCATGTCTAAGCGTGGTGACATCCTTGATGGCAGCAAATCCACAGGGTACCCGGGCCATCTTGTCGAGATTCTCCACCACTTGTTTGCCAACCTCCAGGTAGTGGGGGTCACCTGTAGCCTGCAGGGACGAATCATAATGACACACATCATAATAATGATTGTGGTTTGTTTGTTGCTGTTTACTGTCATACTCAGCAATATCCCATGCTATATGTCAGTGGCCCGTGTATAACAGAGTCTGTACCAAGAAACCAGTGATCAGTATCTTGTCTAATATCCCACACTGTCAGGGTAAGATCACATACAATCCACCATATCACCAAGCCTGACCACCCCAGCCATTCAGCTCCCCCTTAGGACAGGCATAGCTTCCTTGGAACCAATTCGGACCTGGTTTCCTGTATCCTCATCTGAGAAGGGGTACATTTCTGAATACAGGGGGTACTGGGGTACATTTCTGTATACAGAGTTACTGGGGTAGTCTGCAGTGCCCTACAACATACATTCAGCAAGAACAGTACCCTAACACGATCCCTGCAGCAAGAGCAGTACCCTACACGATCCCTGCGGCAAGAGCAGTACCCTACACGATCCCTGCGGCAAGAGCAGTACCCTACACGATCCCTGCGGCAAGAGCAGTACCCTATACGATCCCTGCTGCAAGAGCAGTACCCTACACGATCCCTGCTGCAAGAGCAGTACCCTACACGATCCCTGCAGCAAGAGCAGTACCCTACACGATCCCTGCGGCAAGAGCAGTACCCTACACGATCCCTGCAGCAAGAGCAGTACCCTACACGATCCCTGCGGCAAGAGCAGTACCCTACACGATCCCTGCAGCAAGAGCAGTACCCTACACGATCCCTGGGGCAAGAGCAGTACCCTACACGATCCCTGCAGCAAGAGCAGTACCCTACACGATCCCTGCAGCAAAAGCAGTACCCTAGACGATCCCTGCAGCAAAAGCAGTACCCTACACGATCCCTGCAGCAAGAGCAGTACCCTACACGATCCCTGCAGCAAGAGCAGTACCCTACACGATCCCTGCGGCAAGAGCAGTACCCTACACGATCCCTACAGCAAGAGCAGTACCCTACATGATCCCTGCGGCAAGAGCAGTACACTACACGATCCCTGCGGCAAGAGCAGTACCCTACACGATCCCTGCAGCAAAAGCAGTACCCTACACGATCCCTGCAGCAAAAGCAGTACCCTACACGATCCCTGCAGCAAGAGCAGTACCCTACACGATCCCTGCAGCAAGAGCAGTACCCTACACGATCCCTGCGGCAAGAGCAGTACCCTACACGATCCCTACAGCAAGAGCAGTACCCTACACGATCCCTGCGGCAAGAGCAGTACACTACACAATCCCTGCAGCAAGAGCAGTACCCTACACGATCCCTGCGGCAAGAGCAGTACCCTACACGATCCCTGCAGCAAGAGCAGTACCCTACACGATCCCTGTAGCAAAAGCAGTACCCTACACGATCCCTGCAGCAAGAACCCCTGTTACACGATCCCTGCAGCAAGCAGTACCCACCTTGTATAGGAAGTAGGTGGACTCCACAAATTCGGGCCTCAGAGGATGATGGCTCCAGTGAACTCGAAAATCGGTTGTGAAAGCCTGTAAAAATAAGCATCCTGACTTAGGAATAGTAAAATACCTAAATCACTGGACACAGAATCCTTTTCTGAAAGCATCTTTATACAGTATTTTAGTGTCAAACTCAATTCAGCAAACACAGTGTTTCCTTTCTATGGTTTAAACAAGATATTGAGTGCTAAAATAGACTGGTAAATGTAAGGGCTGCAAGTCCCTGTGTATGACAGACGTATATCTTATGGTGTGCCACAGGTCACTCATAGCTATATTTAGAAGTGCTGATTGGTATTTATGTGTGCCAACCAGAACAATTCTTCAGATCCATTGTCAAATCTCTGTGAATGTAATATCAACAGGAGCTAGGTGGCCCCTTCATTTTTTATAGAAATTGATAATACCCATTTTTAGTTTTTGACTCATGAGGATTTTACTAGATTCATTATGTCTGGAGTGAGTTCCATGTCTTGCTGTGACGAGGCAGTGTTCCATACCTCTGGTAAGAAGTTGTGTCTCTGTATGACTTGGTACAGCATCTCATGTGTCTCGATGGCCGGCCGGATGTCTCCCTTCAGCACCTGGAAAACACACACATTGCAGTGAGGGTTGGTCCAGACTTGTCTTCAACAAATTCAAGACTTATGCAAGGCCTTTTCATGGCACTTCAAGGCACTTGTACTGCATCCCAGGTTGCAATCACATTCATTCGGTAGAACATTCAAGCAATCACTATGCAAATGAGGTACCCAAAATCAGGTACAAAGTTTAAATTACTTTTATTGTATTTTCAAGGCCTTTTCAAAACAACTGTAAAATTCAAGACCAAGGATAATAATGCCAACCTGAATGAACGGGGAGTCATGGGAAGCACAGGAATAGTCCTGTATCAACGCTGTTTAAGGACAGACTGACGTTCAGTGAGGGGGCTTATTAATAAATATATTTTATTCAAGATATTATTTAATTTCATTATTCAACAAGACTCTGAGAGGTGATATATCCTCTGTTCTGGTCAAATTCTGAAATTGTATTTGGCTATTTATACCCCACTTTTGGCCCATTGCCATTGGCTGCCTTCTGTTCAGTGAAAAAAAAATAATGCTGTATAGTTTTTTTCAATATTTGAAATCATCAAAAGGAAACAGTTCACCACTAGACTGATCTGCTTAGCAAGTTTTATCAAGAAATATTCAACGGTTTTGGCGTTTCCCTTTCCGGCAACAAAAACTACCCTCATTTTCAGTAAAATCCAACTTATCGTCATGAAAATCAAAGACCTTTTCAATGGTTTCAGAGTTTTAGTCCAGAAACGGTAAACAGACAGACATGCAGATCGCTATGTCCGTATTTTTCTAACTGGGCGGAAAAACATTGTGCATATAAAACATATCCCCAAGGAAGACGGTCTCCTTTCAAAGAAACTATATTGTGTATCGTAAAGCATAATAACAAAAAGCCTGAGCCCATCAGCAGAGATGTGAGTGAATGTTGTTTTACGCTGCCGTCAGAAGTACTTCAGTTACACCACTCAGACAGGAGTCATTCCGGGCCAGAGAAATAAGTGGCTGATAACATGAGCAACATCCCATGCTGTCAGGGCACAATGTAAAGCCCTGGGTGGCGTGGTACAAAGCAATCTTAGCGCTAAGGTGATCATAACTCCCATACCTTAACATAGACTTAGATAGCGCTAAGGTCGTTTTGTACAACGGCAACCTGTTCATTTATACCACTGTTCCAACAACTCATTTCAGTGTAGATTGACTATTGACTTAAAGACCAGGTGACAACCAAAATCATTTTAAGTTATCCGCGATTCAAGAAAAACGATGTTCCAAATAGGAACCATCTTCCCAAGGAAAGGGAGTTAACTGACTTTAAAAGTCCAGTTTCCATTCTTGCCGAACGAGTCTGGAAGTTTTGGCGCGATCGTAGCAGCACCAGTGGCTATTACAAGTTATGTCCTTCTATCTCCTTCCCCCTCTCATATCACTTACATTTGCTTCAAACAAAATGGTGGCGCCCAGTCAAGACAATCTCATCGATAGTAAAGATTTTTTGTGTAATAAAACAGGCTTTCCACAGCGAAGAAAATCAAATCTCTTGAGCACCTTGATTAAAAACATGACAAGATGTGTCAACGCCCACTTGATGGTAAACATGCTCTGCAAATCCTGCAATCGCCAAATTCGGCACAGTAGTTGCCTTGTTGTTTGTGAACCAGATGTCGATGTTGTTACAGGATTTTGATTGGACTATGCATAGACTCGTTAGTTCAGCCTAAAATATAATTCCAGCCTAGGTCAGCAAGGATGGACTTTTAGAGTCAGTTAAACAACCTTGCCTCGGGAAGATGAATGGGACCACACATAGATACAATGGAGCTTGAGTAAGTGAATGAGTTAATATCTAATGTCACATCGACATTATTTCAGCCACATCGTGCCGAGCAATGGAGGTGAGGAGAAATGGGGTTTAACATCACGTCCAAGATTATGGCACTTATATAGCAATGTGCAAGTACGTGTGGCTGCTTGTACTAGTCCGGACTGATGCCGATTTATAGTGCTAGCACACTGATATACCATGCCACAGTTTAACATGAATACCCCACTCAGACACAGTATACTGACTCCGAGCCGACCAGTCCTTGTTTTAGCCCCTTAATGCTGTGCGCCATACAGGGTAACAACAAGTACCATCTTTTAACGTCATTTGGTATGACGCGGTCAGGGATCGAACCCCGGACCTTCCACTCTCCGGGCTGACGCTCTACCACTAGACCACAGGGGTGGTCACCGAGCAATGGAGCTTGAGATTTAACCAAACATGATAATCCTGGGCCTGTTCTACAAAGCGATCTTAGTGCTAAGATAATCATTACTCCATACCATAACACAGACTTAGAACAACCGTACTGCTAAGACCGCTGTGTTGAACTGATCAATGTTTCACCCACCTGCAGTCCGGGCCAGAAGGCCAGCAGAGCATCCATGAAGTTCCGGGAGGCGGCCATGGGCTTGTGCATGTGGACATCCACCAGCAAGGGGCCCTGACTCACGTACCTCATCACGGCACTGTAGTGCTGCAGGTACACACACAGAATAAACCATAACAGCAAACTCTTTCCAAACCAAACACTACCGAACATCCATTCAACTTAACCCCAACTCTCTTCCACAGTGTCCTATACACCAGATTCTAAGTCAAATATGAGTTGCCAGTCACCATGGTGTTTGGGATTTCATGATCTGAATGGTGTTGTACAGAACACCGGAGATTTATATGTTTCTCTACATGATGCTGACTCACTAGTGGTAATCAGATAGCGAGATGTTTTCAGGAATCAGGACTCTAAACTAACTTCCCCTTGCAGGCAAACTGAGAAAGAAAAATTAATGTTTATATTTAACATTGTATTTTGAGATGGCATTCAATGTAATAATATCAAACTAATAACAAAAAACTCGTCCTCTTTACTAGTCCTGGTATCATTGAAATACAGGTTATCTCTACAAAACCATAAAATTAATTATATATCGACCTTTTTCATTTTAATTTGGGGATTATTAATGACATTTGCTGTAAACTTGGGGCCGAATATCGGCCTCTGACGGGTCTCGACAAACGCCTATTAATGATAAGGACTGGAACACTGCATCCAACCACGCTACAGGATACACTCAATGAGGGCTCACCTTATTGAAGCGGTCCAAGTAGGTCTCATCCCCCAGCAGGATGTAGGACTTCAACACATACTCATAGTAGGAGTCAATGCCAGCACCCACGCCACTCTCTGTTGAGGAGGGAAAACCACATTTCAAAGTCTGTCCTCTACTATCAGGTCACATCAAAACATTCAGTAAGGAGACAGTAGGAGCAAGCATTGTTGTACACCATAATATAATATCATGCTGCTATCGTTTTGTTTGTAAAATTTGCAAAATTGAAATAATATTGATACATGCTAAAAGTTAGTTTGTAAATGTAACAAGATTTCAAGAGTAAGACTCCATTCAAGATGGCGGCACCCAGTGAGTGATCACATTTGATGTCGTCAGGGTAACTTGTTACTTGTAAGCAATGTTCTGTGTGATGGTAGATGTGAGGTGGTGAGGTGAAATGGGGTTTAACGTCACGTCCAAGATTATTGCACTTATATGGTGACGTGCATGCAGGTGTGTGTGTGGCTGCTTGTACTTGTCCAGACTGATGCCGATTTATATTGCTGGCTCACTGAAATACCATGCCGCAGTTTCACATGAATATCCCACTCATACACAGTATACTGACTCCGAGTCGACCAGTCCTTGTTCTAGCCCATTAACGCCGAGCGCCAGACAGGGTAACAACAAGTCTTTTTAACGTCTTTTGGTATGATGCAGCCGGGGATCAAAACCCAGACCCATCCAGGTGGATGCTCTACTACTAGACCATGGAGGCGGTCGATGGCAGATGTGACGTAAGTGAGACAGGTTGCTGGGGAATGAGTGCTGCTGTGTGTGCATGTACATGCCTGTTCCTGAACATAACTGAATAAACAACATTGACTCAAGACATCACTAGGCATTATTCTAATCTAACAATATGCATCAGATTAGGTAAAATGTCATGTGTCACATTGTTGTTACATCCTTACATCCCTAACACTAACCTCGGCGAATCCAGTCACCATTGTGTATGTTGATAACCAGCCCCATGAGATCGCTTGTTCGATGGCGCTGTTTCCACAAATAGTCCATTGCTTTCCTAGCCTTATCCTGCATCCACAAGAATGTTACAACAATCATGACATTGGCAAATATCTTAGAAACAAATACATAAAATTCAATACTGTTCAGGTTAAAATACAAATATTTTTATTACACAAACGTGATGAATAGACAGGTGTTGTATTACATGCAAATATAGAAGCAACCCCACTCAAAACTTTCAAGAAAGCCACGATGTTTCTACATTAGAAAGAAGTATCCTGAGTCATCTGGACCTCAACAAATCATTTGACAGCACCTGACCAATATACCGTATTTTCTTGAGTATAGTGCGCACCCATGTATAATGCGCACCCCCCTCTAGCGGGTTCAATATTTTTGGAAAAAAAGAAATTTGAATATTATGCGCAGAAAAAAATTACACCGTACCCCTTCAGCGAAGTCCGGCAAACGAACGGGTGATGAGAAACTTTGTCAGCACAAATTCGAAATTTGAGATAAAAAATCACCAGACATGTTGATTTACCGTTTAAATTGTATTTTTTGTGTATTTTCTTGTAAACTAAGGCGGACACAGCAATCAGCTGTACACACGTTTTCTTGGAATCTACCGGTGATTCGGTCAAGACACACCCAATGATATAACTTTACAGTATTTAAATGCAAGGATCAGCAAATGTTGTATCTGAAACTATTTTTTTATCAGGAATAATATATATTCCAATATCTTGTTAATTTAGATGCAGCTTTTACTAAACATATTTAAAATAATAATAACCCTAAGCGAAGCAGCTGATCGCTGTTGCCAGGTATTATTTTTTACATGGAACCAGTCTGACCAGTCACCGTCAAGGCTCCCGTGCACGTGATCGCGTGATCGCGAGAATTACGTGTTGACATAGAATCGTCCAACAAAAACAAATATGACTTTTAACGAATCAAAGTATGGCATTTATGATATATGTATCCATTCATTCTCTGTCAACTAAAGTTCGTTTCAAGGCGTCAATAGCGGTAATCTGACCGTGGTTGCTGTTATTAGCGGTGAGTTGTGCGATCTTCCGATCGCTTCACACACGATTTCGCCGAAATTAATTAAAACAATATTAAAAGGAATTTTGAATAAAATTAATGAAATAAGTTACAAACATAAGTCCAGATATACAAAGAACACTTTTTATAGCCAGACAGTGCAATTACATGAATAATTTGCGAACTTCAGTGTGGATTTGTTGACATGGTATTTCCGGTGTTATGTGCTCACGGTAATGTCTTTCCATGGGGGAAAAAACATCAAAACTCATTAATTCGTGTATAATGCACACCCCCTTCTACACAGCTGTGTTTTTTGGAAAAAAATGCGCACTATACTCAAGATAATACAGTATTCATATTTCCATTTTTGATCTGACCCCTGGTCCCTACTTCTGACCCCTTCCCCTGGCCCTTGTCCCACCCCTGGTCCCTGCTTCTGACCCCTTCCATCTGGCTTTTGTCCCTCCCCTGGTCTGGCCCCTTCCCCTGGCCCTTGTCCCACCCCTGGTCCCACCCCTGGTCCCTGCTTCTGACCCCTTCCATCTGGCCCTTGTCCCTCCCCTGGTCCCTGCTTCTGGCCCCTTCCCCTGGCCCTTGTCCCTCCCCTGGTCCTTACTTCTGACCCCTTCCATCTGGCTTTTGTCCCTCCCCTGGTCCTTACTTCTGACCCCTTCCATCTGGCCCTTGTCCCTCCCCTGGTCTGGCCCCTTCCCCTGGCCTTTGTCCCACCCCTGGTCCCTGCTTCTGACCCCTTGCCCTGGCCCTTGTCCCTCCCCTGGTCCCTACTTCTGACCCCTTCCCCTGACCCTTGTCCCTCCCCTGGTCCCTGCTTCTGACCCCTTCCATCTGGCCCTTGTCCCTCCCCTGGTCTGGCCCCTTCCCCTGGCTCTTGTCCCTCCCCTGGTCCCTGCTTCTGGCCCCTTGCCCTGGCCCTTGTCCCTCCCTTGGTCCCTGCTTCTGACCCCTTCCATCTGGCCCTTGTCCCTCCCCTGGTCTGGCCCCTTCCCCTGGCTCTTGTCCCTCCCCTGGTCCCTGCTTCTGGCCCCTTCCCCTGGCCCTTGTCCCTCCCCTGGTCCTTACTTCTGACCCCTTCCATCTGGCCCTTGTCCCTCCCCTGGTCTGGCCCCTTCCCCTGGCTCTTGTCCCTCCCCTGGTCCCTGCTTCTGGCCCCTTCCCCTGACCCTTGTCCCTCCCCTGGTCCTTACTTCTGACCCCTTCCATCTGGCTTTTGTCCCTCCCCTGGTCCTTACTTCTGACCCCTTCCATCTGGCCCTTGTCCCTCCCCTGGTCTGGCCCCTTCCCCTGGCCTTTGTCCCACCCCTGGTCCCTGCTTCTGACCCCTTCCATCTGGCCCTTGTCCCTCCCCTGGTCCCTGCTTCTGGCCCCTTCCCCTGGCCCTTGTCCCTCCCCTGGTCCCTACTTCTGACTCCTTCCATCTGGCTTTTGTCCCTCCCCTGGTCCTTACTTCTGACCCCTTCCATCTGGCCCTTGTCCCTCCCCTGGTCTGGCCCCTTCCCCTGGCCCTTGTCCCTCCCCTGGTCCCTGCTTCTGACCCCTTGCCCTGGCCCTTGTCCCTCCCCTGGTCCCTACTTCTGACTCCTTCCATCTGGCTTTTGTCCCTCCCCTGGTCCTTACTTCTGGCCCCTTCCATCTGGCTTTTGTCCCTCCCCTGGTCCTTACTTCTGACCCCTTCCATCTGGCCCTTGTCCCTCCCCTGGTCTGGCCCCTTCCCCTGGCCCTTGTCCCACCCCTGGTCCCTACTTCTGACCCCTTCCATCTGGCCCTTGTCCCTCCCCTGGTCCCTGCTTCTGACCCCTTGCCCTGGCCCTTGACCCCGTCCCCGTTCCCGCCACCTGCTTCTGCCACTTGTCCTTGACCCTCGCCCCTGGTCCTTGTCTCCTGCCCCCTGACCTGCCTCTCGCCCCTCGTCCCAGCCCCTGCTCCCTCCCCCTTGGCGGTTGGCCCCCTCCTGACATGTGGCCTGTGCCTAGGCAATATGATGTCCCACCTCATATATCCGCTCCCCTGTTAGACGACTGAGGGCAGCGAACTCCAGCAGCATGGTGCCAGCACAAGCAGTACACGTGTCCTTGTGCTGAGACAGGATGGTGCTGTCTACTCCACGCAGCAGATTCACCTGCAACACACATATGTATCTGTTACTTAGCATAATGTAGGATGGCACACATGTACCTACCCTGGGGTAAACATACAAGAGTCATCAGAAGATGACAAATCCCCCCGGCCCCTACAAATTCGAAAGAACAAATTATCTGCCTGTTAAGTCCACATGATGAAGAATTTCTGTCAGATCTGTCTGTTAGTATACAAGAGTAGTTATTGAGCTTTCAAAACAATACCATGGAATTGGGATTCAGAACTTTGTATTTCTATGTCAGGTACACACCAACATGAACAGTCAAAGTCAAACTTGTTGCCAGGGAAACGGAAAAAATATAATTTCTAACAATCCCTACATAGCAAAAGTCACCAGATGACAAACTGGTCATATGTGTGCATAGTTTCAAGGAAGAATACCTATTAGTTTTAAAGATGTAGTCAAAGTCAAACTTCTTGCCATGGAAACAGGAAAAAAAATATCTAAATTCATAAATAGCAAAAGGCACAGATATGGAAATGATTATGGACAGACAAACAAACGGACGGACGGATGGACGGACAGACCGGCTGATCGCTATATCCTGCCGCATTATATGCCGGGGGGATAAAAAGCCTGTGTGTACTTACCTTGGGATATGCGATGCCTGTCTACCTACCCTAGGGTATGCAATACCTGTGTACCTACCTACCCTTGGGTATTCAATGCATGTGTACCTAACCTGGTGCATGCAATGTCTGTGTTCACAGTGAACCTACCCTGGTGTATGGACTGCCTGTGTACCTAGCCTGGTGCATGCAATGCCTGTGTTCACATTGAACCTACCCTGGTGCATGGACTGCCTGTGTACCTAACCTGGTGCATGCAATGCCTGTGTTCACAGTGAACCTACCCTGGTGCATGGACTGCCTGTGTACCTAGCCTGGTGCATGCAATGCCTGTGTTCACAGTGAACCTACCCTGGTGTATGGACTGCCTGTGTACCTAGCCTGGTGCATGCAATGCCTGTGTTCACATTGAACCTACCCTGGTGCATGGACTGCCTGTGTACCTAACCTGGTGCATGCAATGCCTGTGTTCACAGTGAACCTACCCTGGTGTATGGACTGCCTGTGTACCTAGCCTGGTGCATGCAATGCCTGTGTTCACATTGAACCTACCCTGGTGCATGCAATGCCTGTGTACCTAACCTGGTGCATGCAATGCCTGTGTTCACAGTGAACCTACCCTGGTGTATGGACTGCCTGTGTACCTAACCTGGTGCATGCAATGCCTGTGTTCACAGTGAACCTACCCTGGTGTATGGACTGCCTGTGTACCTAACCTGGTGCATGCAATGCCTGTGTTCACAGTGAACCTACCCTGGTGCATGCAATGCCTGTGTTCACAGTGAACCTACCCTGGTGCATGCAATGCCGGTGTTCAGAGTGAACCTACCCTGGGGTATGGAATGCCGGTGGTGGTATTGAAGGCCGGCAGCAGCCGATCGCCGACTTCCTTGGCCTTCTCCAAGAGCTCACTGTTGTACCACAACAAGGCCTTCCCTTTCTTCTTGAGGTAGGTGGCCACAACATGTCCGCCCAAGAGGCCTCTGCAACACAAATATTTACACACATCAAACTCTATCTTCAAAAGTATATTGAAATTGTTCATCAACCTGAATCAGTCCTGGTGGCATTTCCAGTGATCTGGGAAAGAGTTTGATGGCCAGATAAACATGGCATCATCTTGGTTGGTTTGTTGGTTTGTTGTTTAACACCGCACTCACCAATATTCCAGCTATATGACGGCGGTCTGTTAATTATCGAGTCTGGACCAGACAATCCAGTGGTTAACATCATGAGCATCGATCCACGCAATTGGGATCGATGACATGCATCAACCAAGTCAGCGAGCCTGACCACCAGATTCTGTTAGTCGCCTTTTACGACAAGCATAGTTGCCGTTTACGGCAAGCATGGGTTGCTGAAAACCTATTCTACCCCGGATCTTCACGGGTCTCTTTTTTTATATTATTTTTATTCAAATTTACTTTCACTCAGTAGTATTTGATCATATTGAGATGAATGTTTAACACAGCAATTTCAGCACTTTGGTGTACAATAAAATTCCTTTCATACAATCACTTGGCTAGGACAGAATAATCAAAGATTTATTAAATCAAATATTTTTCATCTGAATCATGTAAAGAAAATATTAATCAAATTCTTTAAATTTATTCCAGTCTTACAAAAAATTGAATATTCTAGATAATGGATGGGAGTTTTGTTAGAGACAGAATATTTTCATTTTTTTCTGTAACTGCATCACATACAATTATTTCTCTGAAAGGACAAAAACAAATTAAAGTTTTACAGCATATATTTTTCAGTGATTTGTTCAGTGATCAATTCTTTGTGCGTGTGTAAAACCAGGGGCAACAAGATAATTTTCCAGTACTTCCTGGAACACAACGGTCCCAGCAACCCCTTCCCCACCACAGCCAGAATATAACATGCTCAATACCATAACATGTTAAACATTGTTAAACATGTTAAAGATAGACCCTGTGCTGAACAGGCCCTTTCAATGGTCTTTGCACAATTCCACACTGTCCTGACTATACACAAATCCCTCATCCCACGACAATATCCTGTTCCAGCATCCCCATCAGAGGGTGTGCCCGCCGGCCTCATCACACCTGCCATCACCCATGTCATTAACTATTAACTCGTAACCACCGTCTGCCGTAATCAGGTCAGACCACACTCTTGGCTTAGAGATTTCAGTGTTAAACTCTAAGTTGGCTATCTGGCAATCTGTTTTAACTTTTTCAAACTGATGTCTGAATATGTTAGTTTTATCAGCGTCATCAGTGTTCAGTGATAGAAACTGGCACTAGTCCTACAGTCCTTGCCAAACAACCCAATAGTTAACATGGTTAAGGTATCGTAAGGACCAGTAGACATTTGCCACTTTTAAGGGTTTGCCACTATAAGAACTAGTGGGCTAAAAATGTTAGTTCAAATGACCTATCATATGTCCTACAAAGGCTAAGCAATCAGCATTAGAAACAAACAGTACCTTATTTCTCTCAATGGTATGTTTTATTTAGTAGTAGACTCTACCATGTCTACAGCCTTAGGTATAAACACTGCCACTCCCAGAGGAGATGGAAGACCTATCAATATTAAACACTGGCTGAGAATATACCTGTTAAGACTATGACGTTAGATGCAGAGCCTTAGAATAAAACAGCTCAATGAACCAAAACCTTTGTAAGCTGGCGTGTTTCACATCTTAGACATTAGCTCATTCATTTTGGATCAGGGTTCATTCTTCAAGTAAATATTAATTGGATTGGTGCCTACAAAGATACATAATACCCATCATCACCACCACCACCACCACCACCACCACCACCATCATCATCATCACCACCACCACCACCATCATCATCATCACCACCACCACCACCATCACCACCACCACAAACACAATCATCATCAGCATCACCACCACCACCACCAAGATACATAATACCCATCATCATCATCATCACCACCACCACCACCACCACCATCATCATCATCACCACCACCATCATCATCATCACCACCACCACCAACACAATCATCATCACCACCATCACCACCATCACCACCACCACCATCATCATCATCATCATCAAAGTAAAAGAATTATGAATCTTTGATGAAATGATGCAGTCATGTCAAATGCTGAAAATATTTGACTAAAACATTCCATTGAAAATGGATACGCTAAAAATCTATTCTGGCATCTTTCTGACTTTCCCTGGTCACACCATTTAAGACCCTTTGAGGTTGTAATGAATGTTTTCAGAAATAGAGGATATATTAACGGAATTTAGGCACGAGTGTCGTCAACATGGTATGACATGAACACATTACTGAAGAAGATGTCTACATAGAGATAAATTTTAGTGTTCACCTATAAGGACAGCAAGTTGCAACAAAAGAGGAACCACAATTTGTCGAATGACGTCAACAATCTTCAGTTTTGATATAATTCCAACCTCATGTCACAATAAGAATCGAATGGCATCAACAATGCAGTCCCGATGACAATACACTGTTGTCTCATTACGTGATATGACCCAAGGGCACATTTGATTTTTATGAACCCCAATAGGTAATGAATGATTAAATCACTGCAATAACGCATTAATTTTTTCAACACTATAAACCATGGCCAAAGTAACATGTGAAAAACAATGGCTTTAGTGTTTTTTTAGGAACTGCTTTACTTTTGCCTCATGCCGATATTCTTCAGAGATGACATGCCTACAAACCTATCGCAAATAGTTCATCTTGGGTGACAGGTTCTACAAGAATACCAGGGTACTAGAGCAATAGTTACAGAAACTCAGGATTGCGTTTGATGGGGAGACTTCACGAGAATAATCAACGCTTACCCAAGAACTCGGATGTTGGTTTCGAAGACTGAGACAACAACATCAGCATCAAAGCGAGAGTCTTGAAGAACTAGTCTGACAGCATGCTCGAACTCCTCTATCCTCCCCAGCACCTGTAGCACAGAAACATAAGCATGATAAGGGGGATGCACACTCAGATGCTGGTGTCATGATGGAGGCATCTTCCCGAGGCAAGAGAGTTAACTGACTATAAAAGTCCAGTTTCCACCCCTGCTGAACTAGGCTGGTATTATGGAGTTACATTTTGGCTGGACTAACGAGTCTATGCATAACTCCAATCAAAATTGCGTACCGAAATCGAAATCCCATTCGTAAAGTGTCATGCAGGATTTGCAAAGCATGTGCACTGCTAACTTGTTGTCAACAGATATTTTCTAAATCTTTCCATGCTTTTAATCAAGGTGCTCACATGATTTGATGCACTTCGCGATGTAAGACTCGTTTTATCACAGTATAGATCTTGATTATCAATCTGATCGTCTTGACTGGGCGCCACCGTTTTGTTTGATGCAAATGCAAGTGATACGAGAGGTTGAATCTGATTGGTCAATAGGAGCGGCATAGAAAGGACATAACTCGTAATAGCCACTGGTGGTGCTATGTTCGAGCCCAGGAATTCCAGCCTAGTTCGGCAATGGTGGAAACTGGACTTTTAAAGTCAGTTAACTCTCTTGCCTCGGGAAGATGTGATGGAGTGAGTATGGTTTTACGCCGCTTTAAGCAATATTCCAGCAATATCACGACAGGGGACACCAGAAATGGGCTTCACACATTGTACCCATGTCAGGAATCGAACCTGGGTCTTCGGCATGACGAGCCAACGCTTTAACCACTAGGCTACCCGACCGCCCGAAGATGTGATGGAGGGTTTTCCAGTCTTCACTCAGGATTACACATGTTCAAGAACTTTTTTGTCTACTGCATGTACTGTCTGTCTACAGGGGCTCCTCAATGGGCCCTTAAAGGTCACTCTGGCCCAGGTCTCTGGCAAATGTCAGTAGAACATCTCAAATTGGATGTAACAGTTAAAAGTGAAAGGCCATTGTACATGAAGACAGTATGTGTGAACACTGAAAATCTGTTGTACACATGGTACATGAAGACAGTATGTGTGAAAGCCTGTTGTACATGTTGTATCATGTTGTATGTGAAAGCCTGTTGTACATGTTGTATGTGAAAGCCTGTTGTACATGTTTTATGTGAAAGCCTGTTGTACATGTTTTATGTGAAAGCCTGTTGTACATGTTGTATGTGAAAGCGTGTGAATGCCTGTTGTACTCACTGCCAAAGTGTCCAGAGTGTCGATAAGAGTCAGGGTGAAACTGAAGAACAAATTCAAGAATATTATGACAGAAGTATAAGTTTGTATTTTCTCATATAATGTTTTACATAGCTAATGATCTCATAATCTGATCTGATAATAAAGAGTCTTTAAAGTCTTAAAAACAAGCCATCATCTGACTCTGAGTATTTACAATTTGACGCCACATCCCACGTTAAAGTGCAAGTATTCATGACAGAAAACGTTTGATGTCCGAAAACCTCTGCTGCTGAAAGCTCTGATCGAAAACAGGACAATACGCGACGGTTGTCCTGTTTTCGATCATATTTTTCGGAGTGTTTCTTATAATCATTGATTATATTTTTACGTGGAAGATGATTTTTCCCGAGGACTACTGTTTTAAAAAACGCGATTTTCCGCTTTTCCGCGGAGATTTCACATCCCTGAAAGACACAAGGATATTACCAACCTGACTATGTGTCATGCACCACAGTGGTCTACTTACTTGCCAAGAGAGTCATCAATGTCGCCCCTGCTCGGCTGGGTGCCCCGGTATCGGCCTTTGCAACTCAGGGGCATCAGCTCGTCCCCGGGGTAGGCATGGTTCTGGAATGACAAACATCATCATCATACTGTAGCTGCCCACAATCATCATCATCATCATCATCCACAACACTTCTATCCTAAGGCCAACAAGATAAGTAGGTGTGCTTCTCGTTTCCCTTGTGCCCCTGGCCTGGAGACTCCTTGGGCTGCTCCTCAGCTTGCATCACCAATAGACTGATAGATGCAGGGAAAGATGAAGGATAAACAGACTGAACATGCAGAGTTTAAAGGGATCGTATGTTGATGGTTCTGTGTGTTTTTAAATCATGCATGAAATAATTTGTTTGCTACTGTTTACAAACCAAGTTTTAGAACAGTCGATGTTCTGTCACTTTAAGCACTTCAACAAGTCTAAGTACATCCTCGATTGTCCAGAGTAGCATATGCTTGACTCATTCTGTTGATTTGAGCCTGACTTAAATCACACAAAAAAAAATAGTCATCTTATCAGACCACACTCATGAGTGAGAGGTGATGAGGGTGATCAGACAGGTGATGAGGGTGATCAGACATGTGATCAGACAGGTGATCAGATGAGGGTGATCAGACAGGTGATCAGATGAGGGTGATCAGACAGGTGATCAGATGAGGGTGATCAGACAGGTGATCAGATGAGGGTGATCAGAAGGGTGATCAGACGGGTGATCAGAATAGGGTGATCAGACGGGTAATCAGACGGGTGATCAGATAGGTGATAAGACAGGTGATCAGACAGGTGATCAGACGGGTGATCAGACAGGTGATCAGATGAGGGTGATCAGACAGGTGATAAGGGTGATCAGACAGGTGATCAGATGAGGGTGATCAGACAGGTGATCAGATGAGGGTGATCAGACAGGTGATCAGATGAGGGTGATCAGACAGGTGATCAGACAGGTGATCAGATGAGGGTGATCAGAAGGGTGATCAGACGGGTGATCAGAATAGGGTGATCAGACGGGTGATCAGATAGGTGATAAGACAGGTGATCAGATGAGGGTGATCAGACAGGTGATCAGATGAGGGTGATCAGACAGGTGATCAGATGAGGGTGAGCAGACAGGTTATCAGATGAGGGTGATCAGACAGGTGATAAGGGTGATCGGACAGGTGATCAGAGGGTGATCAGACAGGTGATCAGATGAGGGTGATCAGAAGGGTGATCAGAAGGGTGATCAGACGGGTGATCAGAATAGGGTGATCAGACGGGTGATCAGATAGGTGATAAGACAGGTGATCAGATGAGGGTGATCAGACAGGTGATGAGGGTGATCAGGCAGGTGATCAGATGAGGGTGAGCAGACGGGTGATCAGATGAGGATGATCAGAGAGGTGATGAGGGTGATCAGACAGGTGATGAGGGTGATCAGAGAGGTGACGAGGGGGATCAGACAGGTGAGGAGGGTGATCAGAGAGGTGAGGAGGGTGATCAGAGAGGTGACGAGGGTGATCAGACAGATAGAGATGTTGACACCACTTCCGAAAAGAAGCTTTGGTCCAGGGCATTTATTATTATAGGATCATGAGGATCATGAGGATTACTGAAGATGGTCTACAAAAACACAACCTTCCTATTAAAATGAGGAAGAGCATGTATAGTCTTGCTTGTTACAAAAGTCATCTTCAAGGCTACAGAGTGTAGAGAAATTACATTGTCATTGTTACATCATGGTCACTGTCAAATCATGAAAGGAAATCTGTTGGCAGTGAAACTCATATATAGTGATAAACATGATGAAAGATTTGTGTGAAACCATAGCAACATGCTAACTGTTGGTAACCATGGTAACCATGTAGAGATCTTTGCACAAAAGACATGCTCGGCATCTATCAACATCAGATCAACGGTGTTCGTCAGCCCTCACAGATTTCTGCAGCAACCTATTCTTGTAAGAGGAACGGGGTGGTCAGGCTTGCTAACTTTGTTGATGCATGTCTTCGTATCCATATTACGTGGATCAATGCTCATGTTATCAATCACTGGATTGTCCGATACAGATCGTTTTTTTACAGACCCCTGTCATTTAGCTGGAATATTACTGAGTGCAGCATGAAACAAAAAATAGAACCAAAGAAAAGAAGGATTTCTGCTGCATTATGACTCCAGGCAATGTCTACATAAATGTGAACTTAACAGTGATCATAGTAACAGAACCTTTGTCTTCCACCATGCATTTCTGAACACTGAACAATGCTGAATAATGTATGTTCCTATGTTTTTTTGGCTGTAACCTTGCTTATTGTATTTGCTTTTTAATAAAATATTGATAGATGTTCAATAAAATATTGATAGAAACATAGATCTACACATTTACATGTCAATGACAAATGTCATTAATACTCTCATATGGTGGTGTGAGCACTTACATGTGCTTGTACAAATTCGGACTAATGCCGTTTAGAAAGTGCTAGCCCACTGAGATACCATGCCGCAGCCTATTATGGATATCCCTCTCAAACACAGTATACTGACTCTGAGCCCACCAGTCCTTGGGTAACCATGGTAATCTAGAGCACCAGGCAGGGGAACTAAACACATAATCTTTTACGTCTTTTAGTATGAGGCAGACGGGGATGGATCCACCGAACTCCCCTCTCCGGGCAGACACTATAATCCACTGGACCATGGACACATGATGGAGTCTGTCCACACGTCAAAGGGTCATGTCACCCGGTCAAGTGGAATCAGTAGAATCGAGACTTGTATATGGTGTAATAACAATCTGTATATTTCGTAAGTTATCAGAGCACTTAACATTTTCTGGAAATAAAAAATTCCACACTTAAGTTTTATTGAAGCGGTGTAGATGCATGTCCTAAACTTAACATGTTAACATGGTTAAGGAATTTAAATACATGACACTTTTTAAGGATAACAACTATTTTTTATTCTTTGTCACGATGTTTCAGAGCTACTTCTTGCTAGTCACCTGAATATTCACCTGATTAAGCAGCAAGAAATAGCTCTGAAACATTATGACAAAGAATAAAAAAAGTTGTTAACCATAAAAAGTGTCATGTATTGATGTTCTTCCAAATTCTAAATGCCTATCAAAGACTTTAACATGTTTAAGGAATTTAGTTTTTTATCCTATTGAACTTTTGAACTGGTTCTTTGAGCAATGTTGAGGCCACATAAAAACAATTGTTTCTAATCTCTGATTTTATTGTATTTCTTGGTAATGCAAATTTGTTCTTACTTTCCATTTTTCAAGTTATTTTCCTTTCCATAGTTGCACTTTTTTAAGTAACCCATTATGATGACCAGTAATGGCATATAAACATGAAATAGGTCACATAAACATACTCTCTAGCTGTTAATCATGATACAACGGTGAATTTGGTTTCAAATGGTTGGGAAATCGAAATAAAATCAAATTCATAATAGACGTACCTACCCATTTTTCAAAAACAAAATTAAATTTTCAACAAGAGTCATCAGGACATGACATATACCGTACCCCTGGTCTGGTGCAACTCTGAAATGGAGTTTGGCTACTTATACCCCATTTGCTATTTCATGATTTGGTACGTTGAGTTCAGCACAAGAAAAAAATAATGCTGTTCATTATTTTTCAACTTCCCAAATCATCAAAAGACACAAGTTCCCCACTAGACTGATCTGTATAGCAAGTTTAATCAAGAAATGCTCCACAGTTTTGGAGTTTTGTTTCCAAAGCGAGCACTACACTCAATTTCAGCATAAGTCAATCTTGTCGTCTTCATGGTCATAAAAAAAATAATCATAATTTTGTTTTCTTTAAATCCCAAATCATCCAAAGGCAACAGTTCACAAACAGACTCATCTGTAAAGCAAATCTCCACAAGATGTGTTCAACAGTTTTGGAGTTCTTCTCCGGAAATGGAAAATGAAAAACAAACGGACAGATGGACATGCTGATCAGTAACGGGAAACAATTTTAATGTTTCATGTTTTTGATGAACCCAGACTTGCATTCTTCAGTCACATTCAACTTCAGCGAGCTGCCACGTCCAGGTCAGCCTGGATTTTCAGCAATCACTTATGAAACATTAATCACTTTGTAATGCACCTACAAAGTGAGAGCCAGTGTTAGGTAACAGAGGCACTGATCAGTGATGCCGAGTTCTGTGTAGGGAACATCAATGAAACTCATTTTATATTTATCTAAACAGTCGCATGTGGTGGTGCATGTCAAATGAGGATATTGTGTATGATCGTTAATATGGATTACACTCTGTGATAAAACTACGAGCCTACTAACCCGAACCTATCATTGTGTATCACATCTGTAGACGTTAGTCTAAGGTATTTATGTGGTGGCAAAGGCCCTGTGTACTGGACACAAATCAGGCAAAGTTAAGCAACATTGGTCATGGACAGTAGGTGGATGGGTGACCGCATTCAACATCTTGACTCCTGAAAGTTTCTAGTTCTTCGGTCCTGCCCCACAGTAAACACGTTACATGTGGTGTCTCCTTAGGCAAGACTTTGTTTGAAAGATGCATCTGTTCACCCATCACTAAATGAGTACCAGGTAGGATGAGCTTGACTATAACCTTCTAGCGCCTCACAAACAGCTTGGGTGGTATGCTCTGCAGGGAGGTGAAAATGAAATTTGAGTACACACTGATCCATTGACCGAGGTAATCATAAAGTAGTACTGTGACTGTGAGCATAACTCTGTTGGTGGATTCAGCATGTATGCAGCCCACAAATTTGAAAGAACAAATCATCGGATTGTTACAGCAATTCGTACAAGAGTGATCTGTCCAACTTAATAAGAGTATTCCTATCTAATCTGTCTGTCTGCATATGTCTGTAGTTATTGAGCTATCAAAACAATACCATGGAATTGGGATTGGAACTTTATATTTGTTTGAAGTGTCCTTTTTTGCCAAGAAAACCTTGGTGATTGGTCCAGGGGTTAGTGTAGGTTTACAGAAATGCGAGCCCAGGAGATATAGAGGATGAGCTTGTGGATGTCGCACAACTGGTCCAAGGCTTATGCTGTTGCATTTCCAACTATAGATCTCAATAG